AGATAGGCATTTATAGAAAAGAATTTTTCTATTAATAAAGAAATTGAAAATTGACAATTTAAAAGATTCCTCATGTATGTCACAATGCTTCATACGCAGGGCTGGTGCTAAGCGTTTTCCCACTTGATGCAATCTTTATGCATCCGAAATTCTGCTGCTTAGCGCCTTCCTAAATTCTGTGCCCAGTGCCTGTCCTAAATTCTAAAAGTTTTGCAATATCTAGATTTTGTTGCTCATTGCGTCTCTAACTTCTAAAAACTCTGCCACACTGGCTGTGTGGCTCTTACCACACATCATTTTATATTTCTTCTGAACATTCATATTACTAAAGAAATAAAATTAGCAGCTTTTTCTGTACATTCTAAGTGCATTTAATTGTTTAGAATAATGGAAATCTTTAATTAAATTCAAAAATTCTAGAATGAAGAGGAAACTTATTGAAGAAAGAAACTGAATAAAGAGGGAAAAAAAAATATTCAGATATATGTACAGTTATTAAGATGTAAATTAACCAGTGGTTTGTAATTTCAGCCTTTACTATAACTAACTTCTTTCCATTTCCTCACCAGAATGCAGATCAGGCAGTTTTTAAGCTGAGGTTTGGGGGGACTATAAGCAAGAGTGTGTTTCTGGCTTCTACTTTTGCATGCTGTATTAGTTCATGCCAGTTCTGATATTACTCATGCTTACATTATCGCTGCCAACATTTGAATTTGTTTTGACAGTAGAGTTACTGAGGCAGCTTAGATTAAAATTAAATTGTGTAGTCTTTGACTACTAATCCACATTTTTTAGTTTGAATCTGACTATTCCTGTTTAATTACATCACCATAAGCTGTAGTTGATTTTGCTAGCATAAGAATGTACCTTTATATTCAAAGTTCTTTTTAAGTAAGAGGTTTAGTTAAACTTTTATCTGACTTTGTAGTTACTTTCAGACATAGTGATAATTTGCTTTACATCTGTCAGGGTTTTAAACTATTTAATTTTTACCAAATCAAGTAAAACCTCATAGATACATTATCTAGAGACTGGCGACTTAGGAGATAAAACATGCAGAAATTAGTGGGAACATTAGTTTGCGTATTGAAACAAATTTCTAATTGTTAGAAAAGATTCTTAAAGAGAAGGATATTAATATAAATTAGCCAAATTGTGTGGGAAGACAATAATTAAAATGATACATAAATATTTTGTTGAGTGTTGTTGCTACAAAAGTGTTTTGTAGGCTATGTGTAATTATCCTAAATATCGTTTAAGAATTAATGTCATAAATTACATGTATTTTAAACTGTGAAATGTTATTAGATTGTGCTAAAGGGTACAACACATAAAGGATTTTCACTGATCTGTGTTATAATGGTATAAGCTAATAAATGTTTACAGGCAGAAAAATTTAAAGTTGTACGTATAATGTAAAGTACAAACAAAACTATGAGGTGCTATTATGTTAAAATAAAACTGAATAAAGTTCAAAGGTATTAAAGCTGTGTGTATTCTGTTTTAGCTCATGTAGATAATGAAGTATATTTATCAAAAGCATTGGATAGATTAGGAGCAAATGCCATGACAAAGGACCAAGAACCTGACATAGGTAATTTTATATAATTATTTTTGTTTTTTCCTTTTTTAGTGTCTGGTATTTTAAGTAATGTAATCCTAAATAAATTAAATATTTTCACGGAAAATTCAAATAAAGGCTGAAAATTATTTGTCCTTTCTCTAGTATAATGTATATTTATAACTATAATGCTTGTTATTGTTTTGTAAAAAAATTAAGTAGTTACATGTTAAGTTTTATATTTTGAAAAATCAAATGTAAGAATTTAGTGTGAAAATAATAAAATGTATTTTATGAATTTTACTTATTGCAGTTCTTATTTAGAAAAATGCAAAACTGTGACTTTAACATATTTTTTAATAATAAATGTATGAAAATGTATTATATATATATATTGAACAACTACACAAATAAAGCTATTACATCAAATCTTAACAGAACATTAACCACTTGCCTAGTTATTCCCAGTTAACTTGGTCATCGAAAAATTTTTTTAAATAATTATCATGAATTAACTTTTGATTCGTGGTTCATGACAGACTTTTTTTATTTACTCTGAATTAAACTCAGTGTGTTTGCTGGTCATCTTCACGATGTCTTAATATGAGAAGGAGTTTTATGCCAAAGCCACTTTCAGCTCAGTATATGAGCACCTATTCACCTGTATATGAAGCTATTTTTTATCTCTCTCAAGCACATTAGATTAATAATATAGTCTGTTTTGCAATTTGGAGGGAAATGTGCAAATTCAAGCTTGTGAATTCGTTCTTTTAGGACTTAAAGATCTTATAGAAGCACTGTATTTTTGCCTAAATTGTAATGTGCCTGTATATGTTGTGCTGTGCTTCAAGGTCTACTGTGCTGTTTCTAAGTTGAGTTAAAATTTTTGTGTATTTTTCATATTTGATTCCTTTTTAATCATTTTTTTTTCCTCACTCTTAACAAAAACACAAATGAGTTAACTTGGGATAATTATTTACTATTTATTTTACATCATAAAAACATTAAAAACTATAAAAATTTTATAAAAGTACTTATAGAATCTTTTATATCTTGTTGCACTAATTTAAATTGTGTAAAAAAGTAGTTTAAAAAAAAAAAAAAAAGAGGGGATAATTTTTGTACGGAGGCTGAAAAATGAGGGATTAGGTAAGGGGTTAAATAGAAAAAAAAAAAAAAAAAAAAAAAAAAAATACAGAATAAGAAGCATTAGTATATTCAGAGTATATATTAAACTTTTCAGTTATGTCATGTACCTTCCTCCCCTTTTTTAAATTCAAATATATGTGATATCTTTGTTTCAGGTGCTGCATTTATAAAATTTTCTATTGTAACAAAAGAATTATCTGCACTAATGAAAACTCTTGTAAGTGTTCATTTTTTTTATTATACTATTAAAAATATATCTTCAGTATTTATTTATAATTGTCATCTTTTTCATCTGTGTTCTTTGTGATTAAAACTGTGAATTATGCTAATGTATAGCTATGTATTTATGTATGTAATTTTTTCTCTTTTAGATGCAAAATCTGAATAATATAATAATGTTTCCCTTAGACAATTTGTTAAAAGGTGATTTGAAAGGTGTTAAAGGTGTAAGTGCATATTTTTTTCATTAATTTTTACAGTGAAGTATTAAATTTAGCATAATGTGTTTCAGAGAAAATATTTCCTGTCTTTAAAATCACCTTAGCAATTAACAACCAAAATGCATTTAGTCTGCTGAATTATTTATTTTTTATTATTAGGTTATTGCATTTATTTTAATGTATAGTCTGTTCTACCTTCACCCAGAAAAGTGAGGGGAGAGGTTGTTCTATTTCTTTTGTTCTAGATGACTGACAAAAATTCAACTTTAATATTTAATTCTTAAAACTTAGTATTTATAGCATTAGATTTATATACAGCATTATTTTAATATTTATATTTTAACACAAAATCAGACTTTTTCTGCCATTGCATGTCCATTTTTTCCCTTAGTCTGGTTCTATGCCTCAAATTTTGCCTAAATGCAAGAATTTGTGAAAATCGTATAGATTATTTTGGATTTATGTGCTTTTAAAGTTTAATATTAACTTTTAACTTTGTATCAAACAAATTTCATTTAACAAACCTTTTATTTACATCATATCTGTTTTTCCCTGTTAACATCAGTGAATGACTTTATAAAATGTTCTGATCTTATAAAATATTTAAAACTCTACATATTTATTTTCTATTATAATTGCTGTATTTTAGTTTTCAAAAACAATTTTTTTAATTTACAATTTTTGAAAATATTTATAATGTCAAAGAAATATATATATATATATATATGGAAGAACTTCCTTTAAATTATTTTTCGTTTATGAATAAAATTTTATGCTTAGGATCATCTGCCATATGAAAGACTAGAAAAGGTGTATTTGTATGAAAAGTTGAAATATTTATTATCCAAATGCATACCAATAGTCATGCACAAATTTGGCCCCAACCTAATTTTGTTGAGGCAGCATAAATTTGAATTTAGTTTGAACGGAATATTTTGAGTTGTAGGAATATTAGAAAAGTATAAATTAAATGGTGCTTAATGCTTTTAAATATGGACATAGTGTAGATACATTTTCAGATATTGCATTTGTTTAAAAGTGTTGATGCTAACCTTCAATGTTCTTCAACTGGTAAGGAATCTGTTATGTTTTGCCATTTATTTCATAAAATTTTTAATAAGGCATTTGTCTTCTAGTTATAATTATGTTATTATTGTAGGATTTAAAAAGGCCGTTTGATAAAGCTTGGAAGGATTACGAAACAAAAATGTAAGCTATAATATTAACATTTTCATTATATTATGAGTAGTTTATTTTTTTATTTTAGTACCAGATGAATGTATAAACACAGTTTTTATGTTTTAATAAAATGGTTGTTATTTATTTCATTTTAAGAACAAAAATAGAAAAAGAAAAAAAGCAACAAGCTAAAGAAGCTGGGTTGATTCGAACTGAAATATCTCCTGCTGAGGTATTTTTTTAAATGTTTCTTTGTACCGTCTTTTATAACTATTTTCCCAGGGTTCATTTGGTCCTTAAAAGTATTTAAAAGTCCTTAGGTTTTTCTGAAATATGTAAGGTGAAAATATTTTTTGAATCGTATAATAATATTTTTTTTTAACTTAAGGTGAATGCTTTTTTATTGAATGTATTTGTATAATAAATTATTTGCCCATTAAGATGAATAAGTATAACTGCTAATTTTTCTTATTTGTATAATAAGTATATTTGAAACTTGCAATCTTTTTCACATGCATTACATCTAGTCCTGAGACGTTAACAGGAAACCTATAAAATGCTGAAAAAATCTATAAAAATTTTAGATTAATGCCAAATGGGTAGGTACGCAAGAAATTGGATTTGTCCAAAAGCATTCACGTATAAAAAATTAGGAAAACACTGAAAACTGAGTTTTTATTATGTATAAAACTATGGCTTTGTAATGTATACATTTGGGTGTCTTTAATATTCACTCTTTTGAAAAAAAAATCAAAAGACCAAAAAGGACTTTTGCGATCGTGACGAAATTTGGTATGAAAAACATCTTGATCGAACATGCAAATGATCAAAGTTTCAAGGCAAATGAACAGGAATTGCGATCATAGCACGCATTTATAGTGTGCAATTTGCAAAGTATAAAATGAATAAGAGAGGCATAAAATTGATCTTTTTTTTTTTTTTTTTTTTGTGTGTGTGTGTGTGTGTGTGTGTTGTTGTTCTTGTTACTGCCATTTTAATTTCGTAAAGAAGCAACTAAAGATGATATTCCGATGATATTAAAGACCTTACAGACAACTAAACGACTTTCAACGTGGTCGCATTGTAGGGTTGCGTGAAGCTGGGTGGTCATACCGAGTATTAGGCCGTCACCTGCAGCGTACAGACACTGCTGTGCAAAGATGTTGGCAGCAATGGTTGCTACAAGAAAATTGCCGAAGAAATGAAGGTTCTGGAAGGCCTAGGAGCACAAATGCGAGATAAAAAAGGATGATTGTTTGTCAGGCCCGAGCCGCCCTAACGGTATCATTGTCAACTATTCAGTGTACTACAGCCATGTCTATACCTCCCGTGGTACCGTCCACCATCTCACGCCACTTGTCTGAGGCGGGGTTACGCTCACAGAGACCTTTAAGATGTTTGCCTTTGACCCCACAACATTGGCCGAGATCTGGAGTGGTGTCGCAGCCGATCATCATGGCTGCCATCAGACTGGCATCGTATAGTGTTCAGAGATGAATCCCGCTTCACTCTTGAAGCAGATGACCACCGTGTTCGTGTCTGGAGAGGACAGGGCCAGCAGTCCCAATCAGCCTTTGTTTTTACAAAGGCGTACAGCCATAACCCATAACCCTTGGTGTGCTGGTGTGAAGGCGCTATTTCTTATGACAGCAGGTCATCTTTAGCCCTCTCGCTGCGTAATTTGTTTATCAAAATAGGTTCAAAAATTGCGTATTTTTTTTAATTACATATTTCAGATCTACATATATTTTAGATTTAAAATACATAAAAATTTTTTGTAAAAGAGTTTTTTTTTTTCAGTATAGAATTAAATCATAATAAAGGTTGTTGGAAAGTTTAAACTGAAGAATAGTTATATAAAAGAAAAATTTTGAAAATTAATCTTGGTTAAATTATAATTTATTTTATAGAATATAATGGTAAAACATATATACTAATGAAAATATGCAAAATATTTACAAAAAAATTATTAGAAATGAAGTGTAATATGATAAACTTCGAAACAAGGGTTGAGGCATCCTACCTCATCATCTTTGCACCAAATAGGCGTTTCTTTGCAAATTTTTTAGCCAGTTTCAGTTTTTTTTTTTTAGATACAAACAGCACAATGTCTACAAGTTTCTTTCTTGATGGAACTGGGGGATATATATATATATATCTAGCAAAATATCGAGCAGTTAGTCTCATACGCTTGAGAGTTTAACTACAGACATCTTTGAGCTTTGAAAAGAGCACTTAAAATGGTCCAAAACGTGTTTGTATATTTCGCAGAAATATGGACAACTAATGCCATCTGTTAATACAGATCTGAATAAATAATTAAACATCACGGAAAAGCCGAAATGAAAACATAAACAAGAAAAGAGCAGGTTGCACAGTTAAATAAATGGAAAAAGTGCATCCCCGCGGAAATCACGGGTTGTGCAAATTTTGCTACTTCTACGTTGCCCGTGGAAATCGCGGGATATGCAGCAAGAGGGTTAGTCATACTCCTTACATCTTAACAGCTCAATGATATGTTGGTACCATCCTGTGACCAGTTGCATTACCCTTCATGGCACATCATCTTGGGTCCATTTTCCAACAAGATAATGCCAGGCCACATACCGCACTCATATCTCTGGACTATCTCCGTGCGGTTCACCAATCGACCATGTCTGGGGCATGTAATGTTGACCATGTAAATGGCAGGCAGATTCGTGCACCACAAAATAGCTCAGATCTGGAGCAACAACTGATGAATGCCTGGCAGAATGTGTCGCATGATGATGTTAGGAACCTCTACCATGCCTTGCCTCGACGAATTCAAGCATGCATTGCTGCCAAGGGTGGTTCGACCAACTACTAATTTGAACACTCAATGGGTGATTGTGAGCCATTAACAGATACTATGACCTTGATTTTTTAATCATTTTATTATCTGTGTATGAGCTATACACATATTCAATTTCATCAAAAACAACCACTTCCTTCAGTGTGCTTTGATTTTTTTTTTTTTTTTTTTTTTTTTTTTTTTAAGCAAAGAATGTATAATATTTGATTTAAAGTTGCTTGTTAATGCTTCATGAATATTGTATAAAGCAGTTTTCAATATTTGGAGATTCAGTATTATTTTAGTATTCAACATTAAATTAAAGACTGCTATAATAATAAATGATCCAGATATAATTTAATTTAGCTGCTGATTATGCCAAATATAAAAACTTCATTCTTGTAGACAAATTGGCTAATACTAGATCCAGTTAATAATGGTTAATCATAGTTTTAATCCCCCCCTTGTTAGAAGAACAGGGCTGCCCAGCCTTTATCTGTGAGCATTTCCCTCATCCCCTGAATTGTTGCCATCACAGTTTACCAGCATGCAGAAAAATATCAATGGTAACCTAATACTGTAGTAGATTATAATTTCCGCACACAGATGATGATCAATGGATTGGCCAGCATCAGTGTAGGATTATGAAGTATTTTGACATTTTTTATAAATGGGCTAAGTTTGTAAAGTTAAGATAAAGGTAATTTAGGAAAAATGAAATGAAGTATCTGTCTTTTAATTTAGAATGAGACAGATTTTTAAAGATCTTAATTTTAAAACTTTATTATTATTGCATCAGACTGTGATCTGATAGTAGCTGAAAAGCTACAAATAATTATTTGTGTCAGCCAGGTATAGATTCTATGATATATCATAAGTTAATTTATATGAAACAGTAGTAAATATTTTATTCTTCGTTTAACCATCTGAGCGTTACCGGTTTAGCCTTGAAATTTCAAAGTTCTTCAATATCTCATGAATAAGTGATATTTTCTTGATTTTAATTAAAAAATGACTCTTTCATTTTGTACCTTGATTCGTTTTCTTCCAATATACATCCAAACTGAAATCAGATACATTAAAACCTAGCAGAAATTTTCATGTATAATGAATGTGGAAGGCAACCTTCTGTACGGAATTTTCCGGCCTTAACGCTGGGAGGGTTAAAAGAAGTAGCTAAGGGAAAAAATTAAAGGAAGGAAAATGTTAGTCATTTATGAGTTCTAATTTGTATTTTTTATCTCTCACTTTTATTGATGTTATCATTTCATCAAAATGAAGTATAAGACCTGGCAATTATTTCTTTTAGCATATCAAGGAACTCAAGAAGTATCTTTAAAGTCATAATTTATGTACTAAGGTAACAAATAGTTGTTTACCTGGATGCTCAGTGCAAAACTTTCATGATAGATATTTTTATATCCTAAACAAATGAAAGTAATATGAAGGTATAATATTTATATTATTTGTATATTTCTTCAGGGGCTATTTTCTCATTTTGAATCATTTTTCTCTTCAGGGGTTATTCCCTCATTTTGAATTTTTAATTCTTTAGGCTTATGAGTAAATCACATGAACCCAGTTTTATTTTTGCCATTTCAGTCTGTTGGTACTTGTAAATTAATTGTAAACTAAATACAAGTGATTCCATATATAGGGCATGTTGTAAAAGCAATTTTGTCATGTATAGATTGCAGAAGAAATGGAGAAAGAGAGGAAGATATTTCAGCTGCAGATGTGTGAAGTAAGTGCAGAACTTTTAATTAATAATATATATGAATCTTTGTAAGGTTTTGAAGTTTATTATTGGTTTATCTCCTCATTTCTTTAGAGGAATGTGTTGAAAAATAATTGTTTTTGAAAAAATTATTTTCACCTTGGTTGTTTTCCCCATTAATTTTCTATATAATTCCCGAAGAGACTTTCACTTATTTTTAGGTTAACATTGCGTTTTTAACTTTTGTGAGTTTTATGTTGTATAAAACTTTAAATGCTTTTCTATAACAGAGAAGGTATTTTTAAATGGCAAGTATAATAGTGGGTTTTGTTCATAAAGTATTGTACACAAATTGCATCAGGCAAAAAAAAGTTACAAATTCTGTAACTGGGAATTTTTTATACTACTTTTTATGAGTGTCTGGTAGATATATCCATACAAATATTTAAATAAGATCAGTTACTAGTTAATAAAACACTATAATGAAATCTTAAAGCACAATGCTTCCAATAACTTCTAGTCATAATATATTTCAGTAAGCACAATAAAACATCATATAATGCAAATTTTGTATATGTAATAACCCAGTTACAGAAGAAGGTTAACTGAATCTTTCATTTATTTATTATAAGCAAATTATTAATTAGTTAACCCCTCCTTGTTTAATATTATGTGAAACACTTTTGTCTAAAATGTGCAGTGTTAAATGTTTTAAATTAGAAACTAATAAAATAATAAATAGATTAAAAAAAAGACTGCCTCCATATTGAAGAAACACATAGCAGGCCTCAACATTCATATAATACAATGAAAAGTTTCAATAAAATGTTAAAACATTGCTAATTTTAAATGATATTTTAGGGATTAGTGTACTTTAGTAAAGTTTTTTATTGATGGATATTAATAAACAGTAAAATAGTTTCTCTTTGATTTTTTTTCCAAAAATTTCAATTTTAGAAAAAAGGATCTTTATATTGAGAAAAATATGTGACCTTCCTTGTTGATAGGGAAAAAATTCTGAAATTTTATAAAGCAGTAGCTAACTGTTACACATTGACAAGATTTTCTTCTTCCTCTCCCCTCCCAAATTTGAACTAACTGACAAAAGCATCACAGTTATTTCTTTTGCATATTATTTTTGCTAAATGCTACATTAATTGATGAGTTAATTAATTGCTTGCAAGGTTTTCCTATAAACCTTCAAATGCCATGCCGTACTTATCATTTAGTGGAACAAATAATGTTGTATGCTTCAACCCATATATTCCCATGCACCCTAATCAGTGAACATTCTTATAAATAACCCCAGTGTTGTTGAAGCTCTCACTAGGTTTAACTGCTGCAGTTCAATCGCAGATATCTACAGAGTTCTCAGTGAATGATAACAATGTTCATTTTGATTCATGTGGTAGGGAACTCTTAGGTCAAACGTTCTGTAAGTGCTTAGGAAACTGTCTAGAGCAGGGATTGGCAAAAGCCAGCCCTTTTAATCCTACGCATTATGAAATCCTGTGCTAAGTATTTTCATTTCTTTCATACCTGATTTTGCACACAAACTACCAGAATCACAGTAAAAGTGTGCATCTATTATTACAGTGTATATGTACATGATTATATCTTTTAAAGTAATAAGTACTAGTACTTATATTAGTGGCTAACCTGAGTTGATAACACTAAATATGTTAGAAAGTATGCGTGAGCACTGATGCATATACTTTCTAACATATGTAAACAGTTTTATCATTTCTGCCAGCTTTAATGTAGAAATCAAACAACACTTTTAAAAAGTAAGATTCGTCATTAATAAGTATACTGTTTAAATTTAATGTGTAAAATGCTCTAGTTCAGATTCAGCTGGAACTCTGATTTGCAGTCAGATCATTTATTAAAGAAAAAATTTTATTTGAATTAATGATTCTTTACAGTTCTCTGAATGTAAATAAATTAAAAAATGTTTTAAATTTATGTCAAAAAGTGTTTAGTTTATTTGGTTCAACATATTTATATCAACGATATTTTTTTTTTTTTTTTAATAATGATCACAAGGTACTGATAAAAATTTACATTTGGTATTAAGATTTGCAACAAGTGAATTAGAATCTAAATTGAATGAAATAACTCCAAATTAATCTTTGAGATTTAATATCTAACATTAAGTATGTATTAATTAATTAGCTGGGGTACTCAGCATTTGCCAGGCTTTTGCAGAGTGAAGGGCTTCATTTAGAAAGAAGGGCTGGTTTTTTTTTTCAAAATCTCAATAACATCTATAAATTTCTCAGTATTTCTGTTAGTATTTTGTAGGATATCTTACACAGTATTTATGACAGCTTTCAAACATCTGGGCTTAGAGTTCACCTCTTTTTTTTTTTTTTTTTTCCCCCCGTAATATCCGCATTTGTAATATGCAAATGAGGGGAAAATGTTTCTCCATTTTTCCGTCATTTCTCCTTTTAGTTCGGTTTTCATTTTTATGTTGTGTCTTCGTTCTCTAACCTGTAATTCTCTGCAAATGCATTCTATCGGGTTTTTAACCCCTTCCCGGCTTTTCCCAGAAATTAACACTGCACAACCAGTCTTTCCCGAATTATTTCACATGTCCCTTTTATGGTTTCAGATGCTTTTATTTACTATTGTTGCTACTAGATGGCAGCACTATACAGTGTTTTGAGCTGTAGATTTAAGATAAGAGTAGGCGCCAATTTCTGATGCAAGTTCAGATGTTTTTTGTCGTAAAGCATCACGTGCTTATATAACTAACGTTCTGTTTTTTTTTCTTTTTTTTTTTTCAAAATGGCTTGTGCGCGGTATATTGATTCTGATTCCAGTGAATCCGATTCCGAAGATGATTTTGGAAGTGAATACCGTTTAGATGTTTCAGAATCTGATTGTTCAGATTTCGGTACTTCTGAAACAGAAAGTGATTCTGATTCAGAAAGCTTGAGTGATGCTCGTCAGTGGTGTGAACTCAATAGGGATACACCAAATCCTGCTCCCCCAGAATTTATATTTCAAGGACACCCAGGACTAAATTTTTTTCCTGACAGTGACGACATTTTGCAGTTTTTTGAATATTTTTTTGATGATGGAACTCTACAAATTATATGTAATGAAACAAATCGTTATGCTTCTCAGTACTTGAAAAAGAATGAATTGAAAAAGGAATCAAGGGCACAAAAATGGTATCCAACTACAAAAAATGAAATTATGATATTATTAGTGGTTTTCACTTTACAGGGCATCGCGAAAAAGCCCGAAGAAGATTTATATTGGTGTAAAAAAGAAATATTTCATACACCTATATTTGGGAAACTTCTTTCAAAGAGAAGATACAAACTCTTGGTGCAATTTTTACATTTTGCGGACAATGAGGTTTATGATCCCGAATCGCACCCTAATCCGAAATTGTGTAAAATATGGCCTTTGTTCGAGCGTTTGAATGGGAAATTTATGAACGCATATTCTCTAAGTAAAAACGTTTCTATTGATGAAAGTTTGATGTTGTATAAGGGGCGCCTTGGTTGGGTGCAATATATGCCACTCAAAAGAGCTAGGTTTGGCATAAAATTTTACATGTTATGCGAATCCGAATCTGGTTACATATGGTCATGCATAATCTACACGGGTAAAGGAACCATTTTGAATGAGCAATTCAAAAATTTGCCTGTGTCATCACAAGTCGTGATGACACTATTGTATCCCCTTTTGAAGAAAGGGCACTGTGTAACGACGGATAATTTTTATACGTCCCCAGAACTGGCAGAATTGCTAATAGCATATAAAACCGATATATATGGCACAGTTCGCTTGAACAGGAAAGGTATGCCTATTGATCTAAAAAAAAGGAAGTTGAAAAAGGGAGAAATTGCTGCATTTCAAAAGGGAAAAATCATGGTTCTGAAATGGAAGGACAAAAAGGATGTAGCACTGCTTTCCACTGTGCACAACATGGAGATGGTTGCAGTTACCCGCAGGAAGGAAAATAAAATGAAACCAAAAGTGGTAGTAGATTACAATGGAACTATGGGAGGGGTCGACCGTGTAGACCAAAGACTAAGCAGTTACAATGTCACTAAAAGAAGAGGAAAAAAATATTACAAAAAGATATTTCTCCATTTATTGGATATAACACTATGGAATTCATATGTGTTGTACACAAAATCTGGTGGAAAAAGAAGTCATCTTCAGTACAGGACGAAAATAATAGAAAACATTATTGAAAAGTACCACTCGGTAGAATTTTCTGCCAAAAAAGGACGTCCTTCTGCTGATCACCCCCCATCACGTCTGTCTGAAAGACATTTTGTTGATTACATTCCACCAACGGAGAAAAAAAGTAATCCAAGAAGACAGTGTATTATTTGCTGCTCAAAGAGAGACAGTAGAGGGAAGAAGGTAAGAAGAGAAACAAGATTCTACTGTCCAGATTGCGATGTTGGACTCTGTGCAGTACCGTGCTTTCGAATGTACCATACACGATCAAATTTTGATTAATAATTTCATAATAATTTATGTAAATGCACAGGATATAAATAAAATTTGTAATTCAAGATTAAAGCTAGCTATTCTAAGCTTTATATTTATAGTTAGTGTGAATTAACTCCAAAGTATAATGATTTCTGCCATACAGAAAGCCAACTTTACAGGTAAATACTCATTTATTACTCATTTATAAATAGATATTTTTACATTTATTTTTAGGAAATGTTGCATGCGAATGATGCTATTATGTTTAAAAAGATATGTATGTATGAAAATAAGCATAAAAAAAATTGACATTTTTTTTATCCGTAATCCCGAAATAAAATGAGCCTGGAAGGGGTTAATCTAGTGATTGAGGTGGTGTTTACAGGGCCAATTATAAACAGACCAAAAACGAACTTTGAGGGCCTTGTGTTTAGGATCGTTGTCCTGATAAAAAATAAAGTTGTTTCCAATACCCAAATTTTGGGTGGATAATTTAAAATATTTAAATAAAGAGGTTCATGATGCCATTAATAAATACTAAATTACATGATCCTGATGCTGACATGCATCCCTCACACAAAAACTCCTCCACTTTCATCATGCTTTTACTGTTCCTGTGAAATTCCGAGATTGAGTTCCTCATTTTTTCTTTTCCATACAATCATGTGCCCATTGGAACCAGAAATGTTAAATTTGCTTTTATCTGCAAATAAGACATGGTTCCAATATGCTTCAGGCTTATTTACCATTAATTTTGCAAAGGAAAGAATAAGCATTCGACTTTTTGCACTTGAAAACAATTTCCTTTGAGGAGAGCACCCTTGTAATCCAGCTGATCTGAGTACTTATTGAACAGTTTCATGTGAAACTGAAGTAGAACATTTTTCAGTAAATTCTATAGAAATCTTTTATAGCACTGGATTTTTCATAAATTTTCTAACTATAAATATCATATCATTTTGAGTTAACTTTGACTGATGGCCTCTTCTTATTTTATTTTTTATCTGATTTTCTTCTTTAGAGTATTTTATCACGCAGTGCTTTGTAGAATAGAATAAATGTACTAATTTAGTGATATCCCAGATGATTTTCCACCGTGGTGATGAAAAATGATCAATTTTCAAATGATATTTGTTGTTTCCGTATGACTAAGACCTATTTTTAAATATTAAATAAAATATAACAAAGTAAGTAGGCAAAGAATAAAGCCAACTGAGTTTTTAAACCTCTTCAAAATTTAAAAAAAAGTGGCAGACGGTTTTGTTTATGAAATTTTATTGAAATTTTTTCGTCACTTTTGTGGCATGTTTTATCTGTGTTCTTACATTTTACAATTTTAGAAAAAGAAAATAAGTTAGTATTAAAAGAAAAAAAGTTTAGTTTTATTAAAAATTGCATGGAGATTATATGAAAAATATTGGGCTTTATATTCACATTCAGGTACAGGCTACTGTGTTTTTTCTGCAAATTCTTAAAGTGTAGGAACGCTTATGGGAGCCACTGTATGACTACCAGTAGTAGCAGGAACATAGCAATGGTGACATGAACCTAAAATAAGTGATATAAGCACAATGTTCTAATATAAATCCCCTGAGCATGGACTCCATGGGATTGCTTTCCAAAATCGTATGTAGGTAGTGACCTTCCTCTTGTTTTGAAGGTGAAGGTTTTGAAGGTGTGCAAAATTTAATCAAAATAAAATTATAGATTTATATGAATTACTCACACACAAACACTGTATGGTACTTATTATCCTGTCAACCATGAAACTGTAGCCAAGCAGTACAGTTTAGTGCCAGTTGTGGTAACCATGACATAACGAAACGCTCATAATATCTGAAGTTGCATTTGATGTAACCTAGATTGATTCTCAATAAGAAATATATTATTTTTGTGAACAAAGATATAAATTAACTGTTATTGCTGTATTTTTCATACATTTTGGGGGAAAAAATTATCAGAATTTTAGGATCTGTCTTCTACAGAACAGCAAACTGTGGATTCTTTTCAAAGTTGTGAGATCTTACTATCAAAAAATTTTTTTTTATTTAATGGACACAATATAGTCAGCTGAAATGTCCAATGGAAGAGTAATATGTTAGATGTATAATAGAGTAATATATCAGATGTATTATAAGAGAAATATGTCAGACCTGCGGAAAATTTGGTAAAATTGGAAGACCTAACAAAACATTAAAAATTGACAAATTCCTTCTAACAAAGCACAAAAACGAAGCAGGTTGAATACAATTGTTTAATGAATAAAGAAGCATCAGATGTTTCAGAATTCTGTAGGAGTGATTACCACAATTCTAGTGGAATCTCCACCAATTTCCATGGCTTGATGGTACCCAAATTTCATGGTCAGTAGAATAATATTTATAATATAAGTATTTTGTCCTCCTTTATATGTGTGTGTATAGCTAATTTTAATGAATCTGGCTAGTTTAGTTTCATGGGTCCAGTTAGTAGTAATAATAATTGAAGTGAGTATGTGTTTATTGCTTTTAAATCACTTAGTGTGTTAATTACAGAATAAATTTGAAAGAAAACTTGAATAACTTATTCTTTGCTGAAAAACAAAGCACTCCTGTTTGAAAAATAAAAGTATTGTAATTTGAGCACTGACAGCACATTTCTTTCAAATACCTGTATATATTTATTAAATTCAAAACACTAATATATGGCAACACACTTCATGTATATCACCAAGTTTTCTGAGTAAATTTGGAAAATAAACATCTTATCCTTTGCAGAGTGACAACACAATGCTTTACTGATGTTGCACATCATTACTGCATCATATGATTGATATCTTTTCTACAACACAACATTTGTAAAATAAGAATGTATGCAAAACTAAAAGTTTATAAAAATGTGTGATTAATCATTGATGCCATTTTTGCTTCATTTTCTTTTGAATTTACGTGTACATTTTATATTTCATTGGCTGATGTGCATGCAGGGATGTTAGTAACCTATGTTCACCAATTGGGGTTTATTTGAAGTAAAAAATGTAAACTTAAGTGCATAAAATGCTATTTTAAATTGTAATTGTTTAAAGATATTTCTCCTGAGAGTTCTCCCCACATCATGTCCTGCCAACAATAGGGGCTCCACCAAAGATCTTCACACAAGCTCTATCACACCTTAGAATGATACTGCCCAAATGATGCTCTAAACAAGAGCTTTGTGGTCCATGGTTAAATATATATGCCCATCCCTGGTCTAGAAGTCAATGCTGAATGTAGTAGCATTTTACCAAAACTCCTAATTGAATGAATGTTGATGTATGCTATGTGTTTCTTCAGTGTGGGTAGCTGCCTTTTTTTTTTTTTTAATCTATTTTAGGATTATTTTCTGATTTAAAACATTTATCACTGCAGATTTTAGGCAAAAATATTTAACATGATATTGGGGGTGGGAGGTTAACTGATTAATCAATTGCTTATAGTAAAAAATGGATTTAACTTTCTCCTGGAAATGGATTATTGTATATATAGAATTCATGTTGTATGATGTTTTGTTGTGCTTGCCAAAATATATTACTTGAAGTTGTTGGAAGCAGGATGCTTTAAGAATTTTGAAAGCTCAAATTGGACTTTCTAGTCCAGAGATATGAATTTGCAGTACTGTAACATATGCTAATATTTTATGCAACACTTGTGTATATTCAGCGTTAGGGTATTAATTTTCTGAAGGCTATTTTTAGTGTCAATTTTGATCATAGTAAAGTCATGTTAGAATGTTTTAATAAGGTGGAAATTGTTTTTGCTAGTATACAGTAAAGCTTGATCTTTATCACATTTGAATATTTTAAAATGATCAAAATGTTAGCTATAAACTGCCATGTCCAACATGAGTGCCCTACTTAGAAGAGCTCTTGCAAGAATAACCCAAGTTTATCCGCTAATAATATATCACTAGCCATGAGAAAATCTTTTAGATAGACATGGAAGTTGTAATAAGAACAGAAGGTAAACAAACAGTTTGAATTTTTCAATTAGAAAAAGTAAATGTGAAAGAATTAGTTTCAAGATAATTATGAATTAATATACCTCAATCTTGGTTTATGTAATCTGATGTACTACTGTATTTTACTATTATTCTGATATGCTTTATTAACTATACATTATGTGATTATTTTTATGTTTATATTTTTTGAATTTATAGATTAGTTATAATTTCTTTTTAATTTCCCTCAGTATTTGATAAAAGTAAATGAAATAAAGACAAAAAAAGGTGCTGAATTGCTTCAACATCTTGTCGAATACTATCATGCTCAAAATAAGTAAGTTTGATGAAACATTTTCTTTGATTTAATATTCTTACCGTAAGATTGTGCCTACTGGGCCTTTAAAGATGTAGTACTGCATCCAGGAGGTCCTTAAATTCCTGTCAGAAATCTTTACAACTTAATATAAATATAATACAGTACAAAGTCCGTAATCCGGACTTGTTGGGACTTCGATGATTCTGCATTAGGTGTTTTTCGGATAATACACTGGTGTGCAAAAATTAAGGACGAGACTGTTTTTTTCAATATAACTTTGTACAAAAGCTTTCCAAATCATTTAATACCGTAAGATCCCCAATACGTAAGGACATGAGTAATGTAAGCAACACTTACTAAAAGAGAAATCAGAGGGATAAAAAGAAGCTTTATTGAAAAAGTAGCATGGAGCGCAATGCGACTGAAGGCGGAAACATCCCTGTGATGGGTGTCCAGCAAGAAACATCCGGTCTTTAATAGGGGATATGATCTCCCCTGACTGCTAGGCAGGTTTCACAGCGTCTGCCCATGCTGAGAATGAGGGTGTCAATAAGTTGTTGAGGCATTGCTGCCCATTCGTCTTGCAGCGCCAATCGAAGCTCCGGAATCATTACTGGTGATAAGGTACGAGCTGCCAAGCGTCTGCCTAGAAAATCCCATACATGCTCGATGGGATTGAGATCCGGAGATCGTGCTGGCCAATCCATACGTTCGATATCCTCACTCTCTAAGAGCTGTTCGGCAGCTACTGTGCGATGACATGGTGCATTGTCCTCCATGAAAAGGAACTATGGACCCATAGCGCCTCTAAAAAGACGCACATATGGAAGAAGAATCTCGTTACAATAATGGGTTCTGTTGACTGAACCTGCGTCGAAAATGTGAAGGTCTGTACGACTACCAAGCATGATGCCTCCCCAAACGAGAACACCGCCACCTCCATACCTGTCCCTTTCAATGATGTTCGAGGAATGATTGCGGCTTCCCCGCTCTCTCCAGATGAGTATGCAATGAGAATCGCTACTCAGACTGAATCTGCTCTCATCTGTAAAGAGTACTCGTCCCCATTCATTGTCTCTCCAATTTTGGTGTTCCCGGCACCACAGAGAATGCCTTCTCCAATGGGTAGGCGTTAGAGGTACACAACGTACAGGGCGTCGTGCAAACAGACCACCACCGCGCAGTCTTCTGGCCACGGTAAAACGTGATATCGGTCGTCCAGTCGCCTGTGTCATGTGTCTAACGATTTCTCCCGCTGTCTGCCGCCTGTTTTTTCTGGCCTGTAAGGCAATATACCAGTTATCTGCGGCTGTGGTTCCTCGTGGACGACCACTACTAAACCCCCGGATAGCTGTTCCTGTAGTTTGAAATTGTCTCCGTCGTGAAACGATGCTGTGAGCAAACGAAAACGAAAGTCGTGAAACGATGCTGTGAGCAATTCCAAACTCTGCAGCCACACTTGTCACATTGCGGCCTTCCTCCAACTTCCCAATGATTCGACCTCGGGTAAAAGCATCCAGATGTCGTCTAACAGATTGATTATTCGCCATTTTTCGCTGAAGCAGCAACTCGGTGTGATTTAACTGCTATACGGCGTGCAATCTCTTTACCAGAAATACTGATCTTACATCGACAACATGCTTTATACTACTCAGACACTCCCCCATTACGTCTACCTGCATATCTGCGCATGTGCTACCGTACATCAGCTTACTTAATCTTCTGATTGGTCTTTCTGTCCGCTCTGCCTCTTCGTTCAGCTGATATGCTAATTTTTTGACTTCGTCCTTAATTTTTGCACACCAGTGGTTCTAAATTTCTTTGTATATATATATATAAGAACTCCTACACTCGTAGAAAAAAGTACACATATACATTTATATACAGTACAAAGTCTTTAATTCGGACTTCGGCGATTTCGGATTATAGATCATCAATTTAAATCTGGTAAGATGGCATGCAGAAATTATACAATTGAAAACATGAAACCGTAATTTATGAAATAAAGAGCAATTATGATCTAAAGGGTATCAAAATTTACAAAAAAAAAAAGCTTAATATTTATTTGTTTACTTTATTAAACATTTCTTTCAATGTAAGTTGTTTAAGTTGCTTCATTTTTTGTGCTAATACTTTCTCTTTAATTCTATAAAGAGACATAATTTCTTGTTCAGTTACAAAGTTCCACTGTTCAAGTCCTGTAATTGCTGCTTTGAGAATACCGACTAACTTGTCTATCGGAATTTTTTCGTTTCCAATAACCTCTCTGTCACTTTCTTCACTTCACTATTAGCAGCTATCATGTTCATCGGCCTTACCATGAAATATGGTAGCTGGCCTAAATTATGCCAAGCATTTTTTAATGTATCTGAAGACACATCCTCCCACGATCGTGTGATGCTCCACACAGCAGATTTTATGCTAAAACATTTCAAAAAGTTTTGAATAGTCTTGCCATTGTTCTAGAAATTTAACATAGATTTTAAAAATGCTTCTTTATATTTGCATTTCAGCGCGTGCACTATTCCCATATCTATAGGCTGAATGATAGATGTACAATTTAGAGGGAAGAATAATACAGATACATTATCTTTCATTAAAACTTCACTAAGTGAAGTATGCGTTGAACAGTTGTCAACAATCAGGACTATTTTTGAGTCATCAGGTAAACCAACTGAATTCAAATGTCGCCGAGCCTCGGGTATAAAATGATTTTCAAACCAATCATTCATCAACACTTGTGTCATCTATGCTCTTTTTTTGCGCGATATACAACAGGGAAAATTGTTACTCCTTTAAATGCTCGAGATCGTGCATGTTTTCCGATTACAGAAAGTTTGCCCTGTGTGCGTTCCTGCAGCATTTGCGCACACTAAAATTGTTAGTTTTGCTTTAGAATCTTTGATACCAGTTGGAGCATTTTCTGTAGAGATTGCCAAGGTATTTCATGGTACCTATTGCCAGAAAAGATCAGTTTCATCAGCATTGTAAATTTGGTCTGGAGATAATTGTTCACTAGTAATGAGTTCAATGAATTCATCTGCGAATTGTTCAGCAGCTTCAGTATCAGTTGAAGCTTTTTCACCCTGAAAATTTTAATTGTCTTATACCATGGCAATTTTTTAATTTGGTTAACCAACCTGTCGAATATGTGCCACCAGTGTTTAAGTACATTTCTTCATGAAATATTTTGGCTTGAGCGATTAGCATTGGACTCGACAATGGCACGCCCTTGCTGCAATGCTGTCTGACCCATTCATTCATCACTTTGTCATGATCATCACTTTTAGCATAACGAACCCTTTTTCTGTTATTTATTGCAAGTGGGATGTTTTAATTCATAAAAAATTCAAAAAATTCCTTTTTCTTTTTGCTTATGTCATATACAGTTGACTTTCCAATGTCATACTCCTCACATAATTTTGAGACGGATATGCCTTTATCCATTTTTTGCAGCAATTCCACTTTTTGTTTGATGGGCATGGAAACAATCATTTGGCAGCTCCAGAATTGGAAACTCTTTCTGAAATAATCGAAAGTTCAAGCTTAGATTTTATAAAATTGCTCTAACAGTCTGCAAAAAATAATAAGCCGAATCCAATTAGGATTATAAAAAATAATAATAAAATAATTAATAAATAATAAAATTAATAAAAAGTAATAAGCCGGATCCAAGATTAAGGAACAGTGCAATATGCAACATTAACTGAAATGCCTTAGAATCAGTAAAGATAATTTTAGCCTAGCTTATATCGTCCGTTATACATTAAACGCGCATGCGTGAAGCATACAAAAAAAAAGTTTTTCGCTTCGAGGTCCAGATTATAGATGATTCTGGATAATGGACGTCCGGATTACAGACTTGTACTGTATAATGAACTTACATAAGTATTTGTCCAGAAACTATGTCTGCTCGTTTATGTTAGACTTTGTCATTATGTTTTTAGCATTTCAGGCATGATCAAGCCATAAGCCTCTTGCATGCTCAGAGACCTAATCATAGCTTAATGATTATTATTGATCATAACCTTTGTCCTTGATGTGATACTGGCAAATGTTTCTGAAAGAATGCAGTGTTCTTCAAAAAGCCATCTGAATAGCCCACACTGGTGACTAAATGCTAAAGCCATTTAATGTTGGTATGTTGTCCTGAATTCTGATAGTAGAAGTTTTGTTTTTATCCGTAGGTAGTGTGAATGAATGAAAGTCATTTCCTTTAAAAATGCCCTCCAAAAAGATATTCCTTTTTTGGCATATAGCCCTAGTATGCTTTGCATTAATTAAGTCAATCAACCAGTCATTATGTGTGTATTAAGCAGCTTTTTCTCAAAAATCAAGAGATACGATCTTGCAAATAGATTCCTTCATATGCTCAATATGTTTGCGTGGTTAAAAAAGTCAGGACACAGGCTCATGTGATCATTTGCAAGTGGTCTATGTTAAAGAACCTTTCCTATAAAATAAATCTCTTCAGAATTTCATTTGCAGGGATAGTGTGTGGATATTATAGGATTTGAACATACTATAAAATAATGATTTAGGCAGAAATTGATTATTTTAATTTTTTTAATTAAATTTTTCTGGAGAGAGAAGTAGATGTTGCAAGGTGTATTTTTTCCATTGTTGATTTGTTTATAATTTTTATTTTACTCCTTTTATTTTGCATTTTGTTAGAATACCAATTTTTATGGCAGGACACCAGATTTTAAAAGGTAACAGGATGAAAAATAGTTAAATCTATTTTTTCTTTTTAAGTAAAATTTGTTAGAAGTATTAAATTGGAATCCGAACACAAAATTCAGATTGAAGTTTAACCCTGTTGTCAAAATATTTCAAAATATGTACTGTCTCAAATTTAAAGTTTTGTTTCTTTTTATGTTTTTAAATTTGTTGCAGTTATTTTCAAGATGGTCTTAAAACTATAGAGCATTTTAGTGGGTACATAAAAGAACTTGCAACCAAACTTCAAAAAATTAGGCAAAAGCAAGATGAGGAAAGAAAGAAGCTTGTTGATCTTAGAAATACTCTTCGGAATTCTCCTTCACTCGATTCTCGAGAGGTAAGTATAGATTTTTCTGTTTTCAAAAGGTTAAACAACATTTCAAAAATAAAATTTCACTAAACTGCTTGATATACTTTACAGTTTTAAAACTTTAATGGTATGTTTTTTCATATTTCTTGCATATTTTTTAAAATTTTAATGTCCTTGTGGTGCCAATACTTAAAATAGTTTCAGATTCTAATTCCAAATATTACATTAGAAATTTAAGCAAATTTTAGTCCTTAGTGCATCTTTATTTTCTTTCAGATCCTCATCTTTAGTTTTTTTTATCTTTGTTTTCAGATTCTAGTAGCTGAGAAAGACATTTGTTACAGGATTTTCATATTCCAATAAATATCTTTTCCAGTATACAGTGTGTTATATATATTTGATATGATTCAAAGGTTTGAGTCCCATAAGTCTGAGTTGACTTCTTAAATTGTTATGCACTTTTAAGACGTAAACAATTATAAGTTGTACACAATATAATGTAATGTAATATGCATGTGCTTTAAAAGCCAATGCTAGTAACCAATGAGAGAACTTCACACTCACTTGATTCATGGTCATACACTCGCAAGTGATCATAAGCCTACTTCTTTGGCATACTCCCACAGGGTTCGTAGCTGTCCTTACAAGTGCTTATAAGTCCTTATATTTGAAAATAAAATATAAAGACCCTTATAGGTGCTTACTTTTTCTCTTCCCTTATTTTTTTGTTTTTAGTGCTTATTTTTTGCTTTCAGTGCTTTTTTTAATGAACGTGCATTTTTCCCCCCGTACCAAAGCCGAAACTAAATAAACAACTTTTCTTCCTTATATGGAACGTCAGATGGTAAATCATACTTCCGGAAATAGCTTTTCCCCTTTTCTCTGCATTAACGTAACCTATGGTGCGCGCGAGAGTACAGACAGGAAAACCGTAGAAATTGCGTTACATTCGGTATTATTTTCCTCCCACCCAAATACTACACATGTTTGAATTTCTATCAAGATTTTAATAATTTACATTCTCATTCCACGTGGTCAGTTCATATTCGTGTTTATTATGATCGTTATGCTTATATATGTATGAATATTTATAATAATATAGTTGCAGTAGCTGCTGAAGTGTAGATAAACTTCCAAAAATGGGTTTATTTTTACACAGATTAGCTTTCTAAGGAATAATATTCGAAATGGCTTAAATAAAGGGAAAGTAATCAAATAGTCAGAATAATTTATTTATTTTTTTTTTTTTTTTTTTTTTATTTTATTTTTTTTTTTTTTTTTTGCCAATACATTATGCAGTACGGAGGTTGGGAGGTTCTCCCCTTTCTCTGCAAAATTGAATAGAACTAAAAGTTTTGCAGTCTACCCAACCCAAGCGAAAAATGATTCTATTCCGGAAATTTAACGGTCTGTTCAAAATTAGAAGCAAAAACACCCCAGATTAGTAAGTCTATTCTTTTCCTTTGTTTAGTTCTTTATTCTCCGAATACTGGCAGCTGTTGATTCTGATTGCGTAATAACACGTATGGAAGAATTACTCCGCATGTATTGCGCGGTATTTTGCAGAGATAATTAATTTTGATGTTCAGTCTGAGATTTATTTATGAACACATAAAAGAGTTTTACTGTTCTTTCTAAGAAGAATATTTCTCAGTTCCATTGGTCTATTTTTATATGATGCACATATCAAAATGTCAAAATCATTTATTTAGCCGAGAAATCTAAAGAACGGCTACAATCTTCCCCCCCCCTCCTCTTTTTCCAGTTATGTTCGACTATACGGAATATTCTGCAATTTCCGAGTATGCGGGTTAGTTAAGCTTTTACTGTTAAAGGATGACTGCATGAAGCAGTTTCCCGTCTCCTGATTTCAGAAATGTTCCTCTTTTTTACTTAAATTACTTTGCTATATGTTAAGGGAAAACTGTTATGCAATGAAAATTTAGAAAATGTTCAGAATTTTGATTTAAGTTAAATTATTTAAATATTAATATGAGGGAAAAAATAAATTGCATTTATTATTAGTGGGCAAGCGAATACAATTAATATGGCTTATTATTATTTATTTTCTATATTTTGAACTGAAATTTCATCATTAAATCTTGTAATATAGTTTAGTTCTGCATAGTTTTTTTTCTCTTATTGTAAACTAATTCTGTAAATTGAACTGTCATTTAAAATTAAAAAAAAAAAAAAAAAAGTTAATTGTTTTCCATGGTTGAGGTAATGCTCATTCTCTTAATAAATATTTCATTGCTCATATTTTAAATTGCAAGTCTAATTATTCTTTTAAGGTTATGCAGTTGTGTATAATGTAATTAGAGAGGTGCTTATTTTTTCTTAAAATGTGCTTGAAAAGTGCTTATAGGTGCTTATTTTTTTAACTAAAATGTTGCTATGAACCCTGTCCCAAGTATCACTTTTTGTAGCCCATGGAATACGTGAACCCCGCTTTGGAAACCAGTGGTTTAGAAAACTGGCATTTCTTATATAGTTGATGCTCATCTATCATTTATTCTGGATGCTTGTCATTCATTTTCTGTGCACATTCCAGAAATGTCTGTCTTTTGAAGAGACTGTCAATCATATCAGGGCTCAGAATACCTAGAAATGCTATGCTATAAGGACCACTGAATTTTTCACCTACTAAAGTGAATGAATAAATATATATGAATTATAATTTTTGAATTCCTAGCAAACATAGAACTGCGGGGGGGGGGCCAGCATCTAAGATTTTCAGACCATGCATGTTTCTGCAACAAAACTACTACTTATTGTAAGGGGATTATGCCATACCTCAACCGAGCATCAAAACAGCAGTGTCAGGTTATCGTAGTAATACATGTAGCACATTCTGTAGGCAGTATTTATTAGATATTTGGTCATTGCGTTTTTGTGTTTCACTTAAAATGCCACAGCTTTTAATCCTTTGATGCATGCAATATTATTTTTATAATTTTTTTAACTAAAAACTCTAGAAATTGAATATTATGATCCTAGAGACAAATAATATATGAATTTAAAAAGTCTACTCTTGCCCATTGTTCTGTGGGTGGTGGTTGGACTGTGAAATCAGTGTGCGTCTAGGACTTTGAAACTTACTGAGGTAGTAGGGAGGGGGCACTTACCTTTTTCCATGTACATTTCCAATAAATGACAAAATTTACGAATTTAAAAAAAAAATGTATTATATATAATTTCTTTTACATTATTTTACAAAGTAAATCATCAGGAAAAATTTGAAAAAAAAAAAAAAAAAACATTTATGTAATTTTTCTACAGCAATGAAAATCTAAGTACCTACATAATAAGGACATTTGGATAAATGGATAAAAAAACTCAGTAAAATAAGGATTAAAGAAAAAACTCTGTGGGATTTTTTTTAATGTAATTTCAAAGAACTTCTTTCCCCCCCCCTCTCTCTCTTGTGTGTGTTTGTGTGACACTGCTCAAAGCATGTTTTATCTTTTTAGTACATTCATAGACCCACATTGCATGTTTCACACATATATCTTGTTCTATGAGGTTTCTTCTGTGTGCTTCAAAATGTACACTGCCTGGATCTAAATTTCACTGGTATATGTCCAGCATTATTTACTTTCTTTTCATCTAGCACATAAAATTTGTGGCTTTTTATGTTAATGTGGGAGCATGGTCTTTTTGGCTTTGCTACAGATCATTAGTTTCCCATTGATACTTATTTTATTCAGATTTTGTCCCAAAATATTCAGAAAATATTTTTAATTTAAATAAAACTTTATGCCGTTTCTATTTTTAATTATAACTAAAGTATATTTGCATTAAATTTAAACCACACAAAATAATTTATAAAATCACAATACTAGCTTGGTGAGCAAGTATGTTGAGGTCAGAGAATAGTCCCTGGAAAAGAAAGGCCTTTTTACGTATTGTTTAGTAATAAAATAACTGTGGTTTCAAAGCCCCTTATCTATATTCGGGTAAAAATAAACATTCCTATTTTAAAAGCAAGCAAATGCCATTTTGAAGAGCTGTTGTTTCAAGGCATGACCACTGAGCCTCTAGAGGACTGTTAGCATTGTGACACTATGCTCTAGTGGCTCAGTGGTTGCGCCCTGAAACCACAAAGCAAATGCCATAAATATAGAGTTTTTTTTTTTTTTTTTTTTTTTTTTTTTTTTTTTTTTTTTTTTTTTGTATATGCAGTTTAATTATTGCAACTTTTTATTGTTTATGATAGAAATCATGATGTGCGATGAATAACTTTTGAAATTTAAAGTTGTTTACATTAATAAAAGAAAGTTATTTTGTCTCATTGAAAACGAATTTTAAAAGGTATCCGATTTGAAGTACTAAGACCTAAAACATCTATGATTCTGCAGTCAATTTGTGTTAATTAGAGGTAGAAGATCAGTAATCAATTGATTTTCACTCAAAAATTTTAGAAAGAAGAGGAGAAAAAAAATTCAAAAACTGGTGATTTCAGAGTGCGAACAACACCACACGTCAAAGGGTTAAAAAAACATTAAAAAAGTTATGAAAAAAAATGAGAAAATTATGGTCAAAATGAGTAGTGGCTGAAATAAAAAAACTTTGTTATTGTACTGGCAACAAGAAGTGTTACTTGTGCTTTCATAGTGTGTGATATTTCCTTTTGAATTTCCTTTTCCTTGCATTGTATTTCTTTTCAAGACGGAGGAAAAAATTTCTATCTATCTTTATTTAGCTTAGATAGAAGAGTGTAAGTCTATTAAAAAAGAACAGCTTTTTTATATTGATGTGGAATGAATGTGCAAATAAAGATGTACTGAACTGAACCTGCGGGCCTTGTGAATTCTGAAATTGGCTTTGCTTAGCAGGTTATGTGTATACACAGTCTACTACATAGCCAGTGTCTATCATGTAGAACTTTCATTTGTCCTGTTAACTTTTATCAGGTTTAGAATATTAATTCAAACTGGAACCTTTAACCATTGCAGATGCAGTGGACCATCAATACAGTTATGTAAGTGAAACTGCCTTTTTTGGCCACAAAAAATTTTAAAACAATATTGCTTTTATTCCAAGACATAATAAATAGGGTACCCCGTCCTTCATATTTTTAAAGTTTTGTATTTTCAGATATTGTTGCTTAGAAGATCAAAGTAAGACAGTTCATTGTGTTTGAATTGAAAAATGTGTAAGAAGTCAGTTTTATATTGTTTCAAAAATTAATAATCACATTCATGTCTTGATACATTTTAAAGAAAATGTTTTAGATTAATGTGTATAGTATGATGAATTTGTAATAGTGTAATCATATTTCCATATAATATGCATCAGATTTTTTTATATTTATGAATATTTTACAGAGCTTAGTTTTATATCCATCTGGTTATACACCTCATCAACCATCAGGAAATGAAAATTTTGGTTATACGAAGATAGGTAACCTTTTAAAGAAATCTGATGGAAAAGTTAGGAAGGTGTGGCAAAAACGTAGATGTGAAATTAGAGATGGGTTTCTGTACATTTCTCATTCAGATGTAAGTAGGTCAGGTATATTTTATTTTCAAATTTCAGTGAATATAATTTATTGTGATTAATTTCTATCTTTATATATATTATGTATTTTTTGCATAACAGGAAACTAAACCACCAACTAAACTCAATCTGCTCACAAGTCAAGTCAAGGTATTAACTTCTCTTTTATGTATCTTATTTGTGTGCTTCTACTCAAACATTGTTAGTTTTTAAATTTTTTCAATATTTTTCCTATATAGTTTTATTGTTGTCTTTTATGTTGTATAAAATGTGTTTGATATGTGAACTTTTCGTTGCAGCATATAGAGTAAATTTCAAATAAATGTAATTTTTTAACTTGGTATTACTTATTTTACTTAAAAAGGTTGCATTTATCTTTTTGGAAACCTAGACACTAATTTATTTTTATGAAGGCATTAGTAATTTTATGCTGAAAATAAAAGTCAGGCTTAGATTTCTTTAAACTTAAGTTTGTCATTAAACAATTTTTTAACGCACATTACAAAATTATGCAGGACATTAAGTGAATGTTAAATAGATAATGTGGATGGATGTTTTTTATTATCAGAGCTCATTTTTATTCCTCTGCTAAAGATCAGGATTTAAAGCTGTAAAATTTATATTTCTTTTTATCAAATTTCTTAAAGAGGAGAATCTTGTGTAGGATAAGTATTATAAGTGATTATTCTCATTTTCTATGCTGAATCTTATACTGCCAAAATCTTATTGAGTAAGGCATTTTTAGTTCTCTCCCAATTAACTCAGTTTGGACTTTTAATTTCCAGTATTTTCATTAATTGATATGGCATTGAAGTATAGGATTCACATGAGTTGATGACATTTCTGTTCTGACACATTATATAAATTTGTTTAAATTTTGATGATGTTTAAAAATATGTTATTAAAATTCAAAGCATCTGTGGGTAACAAGGATAAGATCCATGTGTTAATCTGAATCAGATTAGGTTCTGTCAGTATTAATGCATTGTGATGGTATTAGTATTCATAAGTCTGGTTTGATTAAACTAAATGTTTCTGAAAAATCATAAAAAGCAAATCTAGATTGATATCACTAAGTATGTTTGTTAGAAGCATGTTTCTTTTAAATTCAGCTATTCTCGAAATTTGTGCCATCTCTTTTTCTGACACTTTTTTGGATGTGTTAAGGCTTGGAATATTGAAGTCGTGCATCGTTATCCAACAGCTGTACTGAGAAGAAATTTTGTATAAATATATAAGGTTTTAATAATTTATAAGATTTTTTATTTTAAAAAAATTCAATAATTTATATTTATTATATTACTTAATACAGGATTTCAACTGATCATTGAAGGAACTCTAAATTATTAATTATTGTTATTAATATTATTTTCCCCTTTGTTTTCAATTTTAGATAACCTACTGTTTGTTTTGTAGTGCACGTTAAATAAGAAACTTTCTATTTTTTTTTATATGAAACATTGTGTGGATCTGGTGGCTGTATGTAATTTATTTCATTATTAACACTGTACATATGTCTGTCTGAAAATAATTTATGTGTATTATACTAATCTGAATAATTAATAGGTTGTACAAGAAGAAAAAAGGTGCTTTGACCTCATATCATGTAAGTGCTAGCTAATTTTCAATTTCTTTCAATGTAAGTTGTGTAATTTGCTTTTTTTTTTAATGCCTTTTTTTTTAATTCTATAAATAGATGTAATTTCTTATTCACTCACAAAGTTCCATTGTTTAAGTCTTGTAATTGCCACATCAAGAATTCCCATTAAATTGTCAATGGAAATTTTTTCACTCTCAACAATTTCGCTGTTGCTTTCTTCACTATCAGTAGTAATATTTTCTGATTTAGAACTATACTACAGATCTTAGTTGATTGATGAGTGGGGTATTGTCATCACAACAAAAACTTATTACCATTTCTGCACATTTCTTCACAAACTCTATTAATTGGAAAATTTGCTTTTTCTTTGTGATATGTGAAAATCTTCAAATCCACAGCTATCATCATAATGCTTAGCTGATGTCTGCTAGACACAGTTGGCTATTTGTCCTGTAATTAGAAAGACATGTTGTTCCACTAAATTTTGTCTTGCTTCAATCACTTGCTGATGAAGTTTAGCCTCTATTATATTGCCTATTTTCTGCACGTGCATAAGATTTATCTGAGTCCTGAATAAATAAATTTCCACATATACTTAAGGCTTATCCAGGGTCGGTTCAGTCGCTTTGAATTCAAAATTTTGCTTCCAATCACCTCCCTAAATTCTGAAAATTCTCCCACCCCTAAATTTTACATCCTAGTATCTTCGCTATATTCTAAAGCTTTTGCCACCTGTTGATTTTGCTGCTTGGTGCAACTCAAAATTATAATTCCCACACTCAACATTTTGCAGTGGAGTAAACTGAAGTCTGGAATTATCGGCAAGCATAATGTCAACATAAAAGGTTACCAAGCAAGTATAATGTTAACATAAAGGTTCTTTAGTATTCAATTACTAATATTAAAAATTAAAGTAATGATACTAATAATTGTTTAGACATTGCTGCGTGAGTCATTTATCAAGCCGCATTATGTTGATAGTCATGTGGTGATGAAAGCAAAAAGTAATAAACGTGATTCGCCAGGTCTGTGTCAGTGCCGAAGTGACATTAAGATTCAGGGCTCTCCACGTGTTTTATTTTTTTTCAAAAATTGAATGCGCAAGTGTAAAGCATTAAAAAAAAAGTTGCTGGTGATTTGGAGGTCTGAATTTTAGATCATTTCGGATTTCAGATTTTGTACTGTACCTTTTAATCATAAATATATATATAATACATTTATAAGCTAAATAATTTGTGTAATTATTATTAAGTATTATTTTATTGAAATTTCTTCTTATTTGATTTTCAGATAATAGAACGTATCACTTTCAAGCAGAGGACGAGAATGAAATGGAAGTGTGAGTAGTTATATTGGATAAAACTAACAATTTTCAGCGAGTTGAAAATGACTGCTTGTTTATTATAGCATATTAAATTGTTTCATATGTAAAAGGTATGCAATAATGGGAAAGTGTTATTCTAGCCATTTATTTCAAGAGAATTTCCTTTCTGGAGGATTTTCTTTAAACTGGTGTGCATCTATGTTACACACAGGGAAAGTAATAAGAACCACAGACAAAAACCAGTAGTGTTTTGGTATTATAAATGATTTACTTGGCTACTGAAAAGCTCATTTTCTATTGCAAAGCTCTGTTTTAAGATATCCATAAGTATTGAAAAGATAAAATTCCTGAAATGAATAAGAGTAGCATCCTTTTCTAAAAACACATATTATACTTTCCAAAAGGTTTGAACCAATTAAAATTCATTTGCTGATAAAATTGGGTTTAATGATTGGGAATTGTTCTTATTTTGAAACTTTAAAGAAATAAAAACTTTTTTTAATCAGGAATAACTTTTGTACTAAATTTTATTTTTGCTACAATATATGAAAAAAACTGGATCTAATTTTTACCTCATGCATTTTGATAAAACTGATCTAACAAACTTCAGTTTCTTTGATAAAAAATTTGCAGCTGATGCAATATAATTTCATAGGCATAAAGTTTTGAATTATAACCATAAAAATGCTGCATATGAAATCTATTCTGGATATTTTTCAAATTTTAGAAAAAGTTGGTTGAGGCTTTTCGCTTTTATAATTTGGGCACTTTCTGATTTTTCTCACTCTCGCAAAAAGTTCCCAACCCACTGAGGATTCTGTGAATTAATGGAAAACATTTGTATGGTTACCTTTACAACTTCTATTCCATTCATAAATAATAATAAAAGATAGCATTTTATAAGAAATGAGATGTTTTATGAGATAAAAATCTATGACCAATATTTACATTTTTGCAGGCAGTAAATAATCTTTAGAGAAATGACAGTTAAATATAAGGCAAAAATCCACATACATTCAAAACACATGTGTATGTTAATATATTCCCACATGTCAAATAAAAAATATGGTAGTTTAACCTGATATTGAAACCAATCAGAAAGCATCATAATTTTTTGTGATCTTAAATGTGTATTGTTGTTATTGTTGCAGCTCTGGAAAGGAGATAAAACCTTAAACGAAATTTTAATTTGAACTATACTTTAAATGAAAGGCCAGACATTGGCAAAATAGATAAAACCACTAAATACTTGTTCACTTTTTCACTTACATGGAATTGCAAGTTGTTTAAAAAATTATCATGGCTGCAGAACTGTTGAAATAATTCACTGCAGATGTTTTTTGTAATCATCCCATATCGATTACTGCAGTAACCTTACTCGATAAAGGTGCCTCAGTAAATACTTACTCAACATGTGCACATAGTTGTTTTGGAAGAAGTAAGCTTTCAGCTTGCTCATTATATATATATAGGAACTATACTGAATGTACCCTCTTAATTCTTTCCACACTTTCTTCAGAAGCCGGTGTGAATTTTGTATGTATGTAAATAACGATAGTGAAATTATATGTAAAATTGTAGTACCTCTTGTACAGTGTAACATGAAATGGCTCCGCCAGAAAAATAATGTTACAAGAGTAAGTCCATTTAACATTGAGGTAAGTGACTCTCTTACCGATTTGGCAAGATAGCACCAAGCCAGTGATGGTTTTGATAACTTGTTTCTGTTTCAAGAAGTCGCCCAAGTCACCAAACTTGGTGACCATTTGCTCACATTTTCATCTGATCCTTATATAACTGTAATTGTTCTGATCCCTATATGTAACTGTATCCAATGCTATATGTAACTGTAACTACATATGCCTTCCAGCAATTTTGAGAAACTGAAAATAATGGAAATTTCTAAGCAGATGAGAGAAAACTGTGCAAGGCCAGAGATAGCATTGTTCTCAACTTTTAGTTCAGGACCGAGTTGGTGTATTGCAAGATCTCTGTGAGAGCTTTGCTCTTTAGATGAGTTTTACATTCCATTGTACTTAACATTCTTAGTAATTTGAAGTGGTAACTACTCATTGTTCTCTGTACTACTGAGAAGAGCTGTTCAAGTACTTTTCTGAAAAGTTACAGAAAGTTTCAGTGTTCCAGAACTTTACAGTGAAATGAATTTTTTCATGCTACCATCAGCTGTGTGTGCATTCCATCCATTACAAACCCGTACCCACATAACAGCTTTTGTGTCAGAAGTGGGTTTAAATTTCAGTGACAACAGCGATGAATGAACAACTAAGACAGCTGGTGAGTCTAGGAGCCAAGGGATATTCTGATTCAAAATCTTCAATTTTAAGAGTAGCTTTTTGTGCAGGATTGTCACATTTGCTTAGTTTTAAGGAGAAAACATTTTCTTCAAAAATGACATCTCTGCTGACAAAAAAAAAAAAAAAAAAAGTTCTTCGGGTCATACAATTTGTAGCCCTTAACTCCCTTAGGATAGCCCACAAAAACACATTCTGTAGCTTTAAGATCAAGCTTGCTTCCTCTTGATTATGAGCGAACATGACTCCAGGCTGTGTATCCAAAAACTCAGTGTTTTGCTTCCAGACCGTGACCATCTATCCTCTGGAATATCACAATCAATTGTCATAGATGGGCTCTTGTTGTGGAGATAGGCCACAGTGACCATTGCTTCAGCCCAAAACCTGTGATCTGTTCCGGATTCTATAAGTAAGCATCTTCTCATGTTTATCAATGTTTGGTTCAGTCTTTCTGCCAGACCATTTTGTTCAGGTGTGTCAGGTACAGTTAGTTGTCTTTGGATCCTATGTGCAGCGAGGTACTTGTCAAACTTTTCACTTATACATTCCCCACCATTGTCATTTCTCAGGAATTTGCTTTTTCTGTTTTGGAGATTTTCTACCGTGCAACGGTACTCCTCAAATTTTTCTGGTACTTCACTTTTGACTTTCATAGAGAATGCCGTGGTATAGTGAGAAAATTCATCCGTGCAAGTCACAAAATAATTTGAGCCTCCAAAGGAAGAGGGGAGAAATTTTACCAATAACATCTGAATATATAACATCTAGGATGTTTTTAGCTTTTGTACTAGCGGCCTTTGGAAATTTCTTCCTTTTCATTTTTCCCTGGATACAGACTTGGCAAGGTGCATTTACTAATACTGTTGATTTCAGGTTTCTGCTGATGGGGATAATATTTTTTGTTGTACAAGAGTGTGGATGACCAAGTCTATGGTGCAGCAAGTCGGCACTTTCAGTTTTCGTAACGTAGGTGGTTGTCATCTTTTCTTCGATTATGTACAGTCTTCCTTTTTTTCACACCAGATAGAAGTTTCCATTCTTACCAATCACTTTGGCTTTTCCTTCAGCAAATTCTACTTTTAAGCCTCTTTCTTCAATTCTACCAATGGATAATAGATTTCTTCCTAGTTCTGGAATGTATAGGACATTTTCAATCGTGATGTTTTTTCGTCCATCTTCTTCTCCAACAGAAAATGAAATATTTCCAATTCCAGTGCTCTTTATTCTTTTTGAATTAGGAACTTCAATTTCAGATGTGTACCTTTTAAGGTCTAGAATTTTCTTTTATCAGAGGTCATGTGTTCTGTAGCTCCACTGTCGAAAATCCACAGATTATTTTTCCTCGATTTTTCATCGTTTGCCAGAAGTGCAATGTTTGTCTTGAGGTCAACTGCAGTTTTGGCACTGTTTTGGTTCTGCTATTTGGCCTCTTCACAATTTTTGGAGATGTGCCCCCATTGGCCACAGCTGAAGCATTTAGTATTTCTTCCTCTGTTAGTTTCTTCTTCATTTGGCCTTTTAGCTGCATACTTCTTCACAGATTTTCCAAATGCAGGCTTCTGGTTGGTGGCAAAACTTTTAGTGTGAAGATACACTTTGGCTGAACTGTCATTTCTAACTATACGTTTCTCTTCTACAAGTAGCCTTGGTTTCGCAATTGTAGTTGTCAGATTTGCTTCGTCTTTTTCCAAGCTTAAGATGAGCGATTCATAACTTCTAGGCAGTCCCAATAGCATCACTAGGGCCACTTCTCTATCTGTGAATGCATATCCATCATTAGCTAATTTTCTATTTAAATCCATTAATCTTGCTAGATAGGATTGGACAGACTCATTTGGCTTCATATTTATGTTAAAGAATTCTCTCATAATTTTCCGTACGTGAAACAAACCAAATTTTGTATCCATTTCTTTTAAACAGTTCCAGGCATCTCTGGCTTTAACACAATCTCCGATATCATCTAGAAACGTATCTTCAACTGTGAGGAATAATAGGGTAAGAGCTTCGTCATTCTTTTTCCTCTCCGCTTCATTCATTTCAATTCCATATCCGGGTTCCCATCTCTTCTGCACCAGCACGGCACGCGAACGGATACACCATGTGTGATAATTGTTGTCGTTTAGTTTCGGCATTTTATAATCTTCAGATGTCATTCTTCAAGTAAATATATAGAGCTAAATTCACCACAAAAAATATTTATTTACTTCGTCAAAGGATGGTTCACTCAAATGAATTCACTTCAAATTCACAACATTGTTAGGCTTCGGCAATCAGCGTAGTTAAGCTTCGGTGCGATCTTCAATCCTGGTCTTTATGGCATTTCCTTTTGAGCTTCATGCTGATAACGTGTTAAAATTTAAGTTATTCGTAGATTAAGTAAATGGCATAGTCCAGGTTGAACAATCAAATATATTGGGAATATTTTGGTTACATGAAAACAAGCAACCACAGTTATGCACACCAGATAAGGACAACACGACAATATCACTGTTGCCAACTAACATTAAATATTGTGATTGGCACGCATATCTTATTTTTTTTAACAATAACCAGAAGGGGCATCTGTTCTCAGTTTTTAGTTTAGAGTATTGTGAGATCTCCATGCAAGCTTCGCTCTTTAGATATGCTTTGCATTGTGTTTTGTTTATGTTGTTAGTAGTTTGAAGTGGTAACTACTGATTGTGCTCTATCAGACTGAGAAGAGTTGTGTAGGAGTACTGTTATGGAAAGTCCCTGAACTGTAAAGAGTTTCTTTTGAGAAAATAAATTTTATCAAACTACGAGGGCCATCCAGGAAGTAGATTACGTTTCCGTCTGTGTCCGCTAGGGGCGGGGCTAGCGCGGCCATCTTGGGGTCAGAGCGTTGCGCAGCTCAGTCTGCATCTAGCCGTGCTAGTGAGAGGTTCGTGCTGTGCTCCGTTCAGATACTGTGACGGTTTGAAATGTCTGCGTTAATTGAAAATCCCGCGAGGTGCGCTCAGTAATAAGGTTTCTGACTGCAAAAAACTGTAAACCGATAGAAATCTATCGGCAGCTTTGTGAAGTGTATGGGGACAACATTATCACTGAAGGTGGAGTGCGTCAGTGGGTCATAAGATTTCAAAATGGCCGAACCAATGTTCACGACGAAGATCGAAGTGGGAGACCCAGGTTTTGTGGTAACCAAGCTGCAAGAAGAGGTAACGAAGTGGTTGAAGGCGCAGGCGGCCGAATTTTTCGACGAAGGAATTTCCAAGCTCGTACATCGCTACGATAAATGCCTTAATTTGTATGGTGACTATGTAGAAAAGTAGTATTTGAGTGTGGCTTCTGTATATAATAAAATTTGTTTCCTATACTTTGTTTATTTTTTTATTCCAAAACGTAATCTACTTTCTGGATAGCCCTCGTATCATCAGTCCTGTGTGCATTCAGTGCATTATGATTCAATGCATTATGAACTCGTACACACATAACAGTAAAATGTTGTCTCCTCTAACTAGCAATTGTTTTGCAGCTTGATATTCCTTGTGGAATGTGTTTTCATCATTCAAATCATTTAGAAATGCTTCGTATATTTTAGCATGTGTAATAATATACTTGCTATTATCTTTTTTGAAATAACTCAGTGATAGCTTGTATAAGGAAAGCATCATCTCTGTATTTTACGTTCCCTTAACAGTAGGAATATTTGTGAAAGAATATTCAGATAGGTTCTATAGTTTATAACTTTAGAATTTAGAATATGAAGAATTGCATGCTAAGAACTTGAAATCAGAAGGGCGGGTTTCAGATGAGTTCTCATTCACTTTATTTGTAATTTAGGATTTTTTTTCTATAAGGATCCAGTACCTGACTGTTTACCAAAAGAGACTGTTAGATAACTATTGAATGATGATTTATATCTTTCCAGTGATTTTTTATAATCATATTATATAACAAGGCAGGCTCAAGAATAAAATGCTGTTAAAGCAGAAAAAAAAGCGGAAAAGAGTTGAAATAGGAAAGCAGCAAATTCTTAAAATAAAGCAAATCTGTTAAAAATATGAAAATTTGAAAAAAAATAATTTGAAATTTTCATGTTTGAGGGTTGGTTTACACTAAAGTTTTTAATTACTCAGAAGAACCTAGACACTGTGAAAATAAAACTTGAGACTTGCATTTGGAACATTATTATAGAGCAATTAATATGTTGCCTAATGTAACCTGTTCCTCAGAGTGCAGTGATAATCTCAAAGGAATGTAATGAGTATCTGGAATTCAGTGAGTGTTTCCTTTTAATTTTTTTATTTGCAAAAATTCATTATATGACTTATTGAAGAATTTTTACATATATTATTACATGAAGAATTTTTCAAATTCTGATGTAAATACTCTGTTTTTCTTACTTTAGTATCAGCCGTTTGATATTTGCATGTTTCAAATGCAACAGTAATTTGAAAAATTTAATCCCTTTTTTTTTTTTTTTTTTTTTTTTTTTTTTTTTTTTTCAGATGGATGTCTGTGCTAGTAAATTGCAAAGAAGGTGCACTTAGAAAAGCATTTGATGATTCAGGACAGACCGGAGTTACTAAACTAAATCAGAGTTTACTGGAGCTCCAGCAAGGAATAATTAGACAAGTGCAAAGGTTACCTGGTAATGACCGTTGTTGTGATTGCAATTCAACTAAAGGTAAGTGCAACTTCTGAAAATTTGCCTTCACTTAGTATTTCAGCATTAGTGGAATTTGAAAAATTTTCATTTTTAGTAGTCTGAGATACTTATATATATATTATTGTTTCAGATCCAACGTGGTTATCAACAAATTTTGGAATTTTAATGTGTATTGAATGCTCAGGTATTCATAGAGACCTTGGTGTTCATATATCAAGGATTCAGTCATTAACTTTAGATAATATTGGAACATCACAGCTTTTGGTAAAATATATTTTATATTTAATTATTTTATTAATATATGTTTAAAACATTTTATGCATTAGGAACTAAGAATTACTGAAATTTTAAAATTATATGTGTCCCTTGTTTAATCAGCATATTGGGGAAAAAGTATTTCTGAAAACTATTGTTGAAATATAATCTAGACAATTTTTAGCTTACAATATATTTTGACACTTGAAAAATGTAAGTAATGCTTTCTATATTAATTATGAATTTGTTGTAAAGCTAAATAGTTTATGTATGCAAAACTTCTGTGAATTAATTTAAAACTTAGCTTCAAATGCATAAAATATTACATACGATAGACAAGATGGAGGGGAACTGATTGTGCATCTAATATATTTTGATTGTATGAAAAGGTTAGCAGATTGATACATTGAAAATTTGCATATATTTGTTAGTTATTTGAATAATTAAGCAACAGTATTAAGGAGGTAAAATAAAATTTTTATATTTAGTTTATATTGTAAACTTAGGATTTCTTTTTTATTGCATTTCTGAATGCCATATTGTGCATAATTATTCCTATAGTGTTTGTTACAATTACTTATGAATCAGACATGAGGTGTACCAATTTATTTAACACTTTGCGGGCCGCTGTCACGCTGGCGTGACTTTTGCTCGCCAACAGTTATCGGCCACTGTCACGTACGCGTGACTTATTTTCACCAACACCGATGCTTCACATCGACATTTGTATAGATAGACATAGTATAGCAAAACATTTGACGATCAGGAAACAGTGGTTTCAACTGTTTTCCTCTCCCAATTCACCAGACTGTCTATTATTGAAATCTTTTTTCGTGGATGCTTGTTTTGTTAGTTTGAGACTGTCTTTTGCTGCCTTCAAAATATCGGAAACTTACGTTAGATTTAAAGATATCCTTCAAAATGCTCTTCGTTGAGGAAATATATGCTGATCTGTTATCAGAAGAGGATAATTGCTCTGATAGTGAAAGAGATTCGGACAGTGGGAGCGATATAATTGTAAGACGATTCAAAAATAAGAGATTATAAATAAGGGATAAAAATAATTAGTGAATCTGAAAGTGATGAAGAGAATTCTGTGGCAAATGATTGGTCAGAAGTTGATTTTAAACCTAACTTTCATGCTTGCCTGGAACAGTTTGGGTTACAGGTACCATACACACCAGATATATTATCAACTGTGGAATTGTTCATAGGGGATGATTTATTTAATTTGTTTGCCACTCAAACAAACTTAAGTCATAATCAGCAGAATAATGATAACAACAATGCATCAACAAAGAATAAAGCTTGGATTGATACAAATGTTGTAGAAATGAAAAAACTTTTGGGGCTTGTTATCCTAATGGGAATAGTAAGAAAACCAGAACAAGATGATTATTGGTTTAATTAATTTGTAATAAAACATTACTAAGTTACACCTTTAGCAAATACAACACAATTTATCTGTGAGCAACAGATATTTCAATACAAATTCAGTAGCAAAAAGAAAAAAAGAAAACCTACAAAGTTGCTCTTACAGTCAGGTAATGTCATCTAGAAGCAGAAAAAGTAAACTAAAACAAATAATCTGGGATAGTAAAAACTGAGACTGAAAATTACATGTGGCGAAATGTGTGTGAAATGTTCCATGTGACATACCCACAAAACTGTTAAGCAGTTTTGTTGCAATTTCCCCCTAAATTTGGTTTAAGAAAAAGTCATGTTTTCTTTATTTAATTTTTTACTCATTTTATGTTTGCAAATATGAAAATTTAATTAAAATTAACATTTGTAATATTTTTAAGCATTTATAACTATTTTATTCCAAATAAAATAATAATATTTTCTGTAGAAGTTGTTTTGTCTTTCTACATCAGCGCCTAACAGGGAAGTTTATTTATTGTTGTTTATGTAAAAAATACAGTTATATTTAGTTATGATTACACTTACTACAATTACATTTACTTAGCCTTTTTTACTTTCTGGTAACCCCCTTTGCATTTGTGAAATCACCTCTAAAAATGTCTTTTTGCTAGACTTAGTGGAATTGGTAAATCTTTGGCAGGACCTTTTCCTGTACCTTCTTCTGTTGCATGCCTTTGAGTCAGTCAGATGATAATATCCAATCGAAACTGTAAATATGTATCTTTATGGCCATGGTTTTTTGTACAGCACATAAGCATTCCATAAACCTATGTCTAGAAGAATCATCTAGAACCTTCACTACTCCCAGACTCGTATATAAACAGTTCAGATTCTGATTCCGAGTCGCAAAAAATTAACTGCAAAAGAAAAACGTTTTAACCACTTATACATGAATAAAGTTCAAAATCAACAGTAAAATAATACAGAAAGCTAAATACTGAAAGATAAAAATTCACCCTTTCATGCAAAAAGTGTGAAAAAAGCACACGCTTTTGAACCAATCTGAATGTAGTAAAATAGATTTTACATACTACCCTTAGTGGACATCTTTTGCCATCTTTGCAACTAGTTTCATATTAAAAATATATGGGCAAAATACTAAAAGCAACACAGAGAGAAGATTGCTCATACAGTGTGTGTGCAAATCAGGAAAGGCCCGAAGGCAGCACTCATACACTGCCTGGGTGAAATAGGCAAGTGTTTATTTCACCAAGTGGCAAGTGTGGGTGAAATATGTATTGTTTTCAGAAAAGGGTAATATTTTATTAACTTTTTTAATTAAAAAATTCATAATGATGGTTCTTTTTAAATCTGTATCTAGAAATATTAAATATAAAAGGCCTTTTTTGTATGACTAACCATTTGCATAGTTAGCATTTGTTCTGGCAAGCAGGGGAAACTGAGATTAATAAATAAAAGGAATTCTAATTGCCACACTTAGTCTTTAAAACAAAAGGGGAGAAAATGCTAATGAAATGGCACAAGACTTTTATAGTAAGCCTAATTTTTTTACAGGAAAGTGAGAAAGCACAGAAAGTAAATGAGCTTAACAAATAAATATTGGAAGGTGAAAAAAGTAAGTGCAATGAAATCGCAGAAGAAAAAAAAAATGTGTCACATCTAATGATACCATATTGTCGAAACTAAGTTTCCATAATCATTTAATAACCAAATAAGATCTCAAAGAAAGAAAAGCATCCGCTGCTTTAAGTCGTACTTCAGCATATTACTAAATAAATTGTAAAAAATTGCCTATTTAATATTTTCCGAATTCTTATTTTTAAGGGGGGATTATTGTTATAATCTGTGAAAATTTCAAAACTGATTGAAACCCACATTTTAGATTGTGAGAGTTTAAAGGAAGTGTAGCTATAAAAAAATTAAGCTGTTTTTGAAAAGTCAATAAATTGGAGTTGGTTAAATTGTTAGAGATTCAGTGAAATCTTCATTTAAAAGAATGTTTTCCTTGTCTTTTTGATGTGCAAGCAATGAGATTTTGGGATTATTCGATTGTTCATAATGCGAAGATATGTGCAAACAATGTAGAGAAAAATCATTTCAGCATTAAATAAATAAGAAATAGGAAGATGCCATTCCCATGGAGAGCAATAACATTCTAAAAACAGAAAATATATTTTCAGTGTTATAGCAATATATATATATATATATATATATATATATGCAAAAAGGAGAAAAAATAAATCACCAAGATAACTCCTAATTTGTGAAAATAAAAATGAATTTATCCCTAATTGTGTGACATTGGAACAAAAGATATAGTTACTATACAGTGCTGGAACAGCAAAACCATGGATGGGAATTGATTGTTTTGTGCCACCTTCATCATGATAGCATAAATGAATCAGTTTCTGTTCTTATTTTTCCTTCCAAATTGTTCAGCTATAAAACTGTTAAATTTGGGAAAGAGAAGTTTTTCTCCTTACCAGTTGTATGCATACAAAATTATTGTATGATACATAAATCATTTGATCAGTGAAACGTTTCATTTAAAAGTAAAGGGCAAATTTTTTAGAAAGTTTATTATTCTTTGCTCATTAAAAATTTTTTGCTCCAAAGCAATATTTAATCATAATTAGATTTGAAATGAAAAAAAGAGTTCATTTATTGTTGCAATCATAGTGTTTTAATCATTTATGTCCAGTTGTGTTATAATTATGATAAATAATTGATTCAACATTTTATACTATTAAAGTTTTCAAATTTTATTTAGGGAGGAGCGTTATGAATTTATTAGAAGTAAATATGTAGATAGAAAATTTGCTATTCACACATGTTCAGATGAGAATGATTTAATAAATGACTTAGAAAATGCTGTTACTTCAAAGCATCTGTATCAACTACTCCAAGCCTTTGTGGAAGGTGTTGACCTTACTGCTGTATTGCCAAATAGTGTAAGTTATAAACATTAATTAGTCTTGTACTTCAGCTCTTTCTTGTTGGGTAAGTGATGTTTTATTGTGCTGTTTTGCGTATACAGTTAAAAATTATAAATATGTAGTTATTGACTTGTGCATATGTTTCATTTGTTTGATATATAGAAGAGCCTCCCTCTTCTCGTCTTAAATTAATGAATGCCCCCATACACATATAAAAGCAGTATTGCTCATTCAAAAGTTATTTAAATAAATGTAAGAATTTACTTTTAGCTTTTTCAGGCTAAAAATTTTTCTTAACCTTCTAAATGAGAGGAAAAATATTAAATTTAGTGATATGTCATATGAATTCTGTTTGCTTTCATCAGGATTTGTTTTGAAACTTATTTACTTCTTAAAGTTGCAAGATTGCAGAATTTTGTATACTTGTTTTTGCATGCTTTCTTTGATATGTTTAAATAAAACATTAAAAAGTATATATTCAGGCTTTTCAATTATTTTCTTTCCCTTTTTAAAAAATTCAAATTCTTTTAGTTTAATTTTTTTTTTTTTTTTTTTTTTTTTTTTTTTTATTTGTAAATTTTTATTTATGTTTACATTTCAGACTATGGCGGAGACAAGTTTACATATTGCTGTTTCTCAGGAAGATGGTACTTCTTTGCACATTGTAGATTTTCTTGTACAAAATAGGTATTTGTTATATTTCTCTTACTGATTTATGATCTGTATCGTAAATATTTAGGAAATTATGCTTAACCTTAAGTTGCATTTTTTATAAGATTATCTTGACTGTATTATGTGTTAGGCATACTTATTTGATAATGTCGTGCATTTAACACAGTTAAGACGTTTGAGTACACTATCCTGTATTTAGCACAGTTTTATTAAAGAATCATAAGTTTAAATAACTATGAAATTTTTATTTAACCCTTTGATGCGCGGTGGTCGCACCTTGAAACCACCAATTTTTGAATTTTTTTTCCTCCTCTTCTTTCCAAAATTTTTGAGTGAAAATCAATTGATTACTGATCTTTTACCTCCAAATAATACAAAATGACTGCAGAATCATACATGTTTTAAGTCTTAGTACTTCACATCAGATGCCTTTTAAAATTTGTTTTCAATGAGACAAAATAACATCCTTTTATTAATATAAACAACTTTAAGTTTCAAAAGTTATTCATCGCACAGCATGATTTCTATCGTGAACAATAAAAAATTGCAATAATTAAACTGCATATATAAAAAACCCTATCTATTATATTTACGGCATTTGCTTTGTCCTTTCAGGGCTTGACCACTAGAGCATTGTGTCACAATGCTCACAGTCCTCTAGAGGCTCTGTGGTCATGCCTTGAAACCACTGCTCTTCACAATGGTGTTCGCTTGCTTTACAAATAGGAATGTTTATTTTTACCCGGGTATAGATAAGGGGCTTTGAAACTACAGACAGGATTCTTAGTGGTCCTTACAAATGCTTATAAGTCCTTATATTAGAAAATAAAATATAAAAGCCCTTATAGGTACTTACTTTTTCTCTAAAGCACCTTTTTTGTTTGTTTGTTTGTTTTTAGTGTTTATTTCTTGCTTTTAGTGCTTTTTTTTTTTTAAACAAACGCACGTTTTTCCCTGGTACCAAAGCTGAAACTAAATAAACAACTTTTCTTCCTTATATGGAATATCAGATGGTGAATCATACTCCCAGAAATAGCTTTTCGCCCCTTTCTCTGCATTAACATAACCTTTGGTGTGCGCAAGTGCAGACAGGCGCACGTCGTTCTATTGGTCAAAGAATTGCGAAAGTGGTAGAAAATTCCTATGCTTTCCGTATTCTTTTGCTCCCACCCAATACTACACACATTTGAATTTCTATCAAGATTTTAATAATTTACATTTTCGTTCCATGTGGTCAGTTCATATTCGCATTTTTTATGATCAGTATGCTTATATTATGAGCATATGTATGAATATTTATAATAATATATTTGCAGTAACTGCTGAACTATACATAAACTTCAAAAATGGTTATGTGTGTTTTAAGACAGATTAGTTTTCTAAGGAATAATATTCAGAGTGGCATAGATAAAGTGAAAGTAATCAAATAGTCAAAATATTTTTTTTTTTTTTTTTTTTTTGTTGGGCCAATGCATTATACAGTGCGGAAGTTGGTCGTTCTCCCCTTTCTCCGCAAAATCTCAAATATTGAAACCGTTACAGTTACAGTTCGCTGCAAAGCAAGCAACGAACGTTTTTTTTTTTTTTTTTTTTTGTCACTTTCCAATCTGGATTGAATAGTACTAAAAGTTCTGTGGTCTACCAACCCAAGTGAATAATGATTCTATTTCGGAATTTTAATGTAGTCTGTTCAAAATTAGATTGAAAAACATCCCAGATTGGTAAAACTCTTTATTAATCAATATGAGTATGGCACGCGACGTGTCTTGCTCAGTGATAAATATGCCACATGGTCGCATGACGGTGAAAAACAGAGGAAGCAAATGGGTGTTTTCCTTTATTTAGTTATTTATTCTCTGAATACCGGCAGCTGTTAATTCCAATTTCATAATATCACATGCAGAAGAATTAAGGCGCACATATTGCGCAATAACGTATGCGATATTTCGCAGAGATAAAAGAGTTTTACTGTGCTTGCTAAGCAGATTATTTTTCAGTTCCATTGGCCTATTTTTTATCTCATTCACATATCGAAATGTTAAAAGCATTATTTAGCTGAAAAATCTAAAGAACGGCTACAATCTACCCTCCTTCCACTTTTACCAGTTACGCTCGACTATCCGGAGTTTTCAGATATTCGGCAATTTCCGAATATGCCGGTTAGTTAAGCTTTTACTGTTAAAGGATGACTGCATGAAGCAATTTCCTATCTTCTGATTTCAGAAAAGTTCCTTTTTTTTTACTTATTTTTACTTAAATTGCTTGCAATATCTGTTAAGGGAAAACTCTTTTACGATGAAAATTTAGAAAATGTTTAGAATTTTGATTTCAGTTAAATTATTTAAAATATTAATATGAGTGGAAAAATAAACTGTATTTATTTTTAGGTGCCAAGCGAATATAATAAATATGGCTTATTATTATTTTCTCTATTTTGAACTGAAATTTCATCATTAAATCTTGTAATATAATTTAGTTCTGCATAGTTTTTTTTTCCCCCTCTTATTGTAAACTAGTTCTGTAAATTGAACTGTTATTTAAAATTAAAAAAAGAAGAAGAAGAAGAATGTAATTGTTTTCCATTGTTGAGTAATGCTCATTCTCTCTTAATAAATGCTGAATTTCTCATATTTTAAGTTACAAGTCTTAATGTTTCTTTTAAGGTTATGCAGTTGTGCATAATGTAATTAGACAGGTGCTTTTTTTTCTTAAAAAGTACTTGAAAAGTGCTTATAGGTGCTTATTTTTGTAATTAAAATGTGGCTATGAACCCTGACAGAGTTATTTTATTACTAAATAAATACATGCACCTGCCCAGTGAAAAAGTCTTTCTTTTTCAGAGATTTTTCTCTGACCTCAACACATTTACTTCCCAAGCTAGTATTGTCATTTTATAAATTATTTGGTGTGGTTTAAATTTAATATAAATATACTTTGCTATAATTAAAAATAGAAATCGTGTAAAAGTTTTACTTAAATTAAAAATATTTTCTGAATATTTTGGCACGAAATGCGAATAAAATAAATATGAATGGGAAACGAATGATCCATAACAAAGCCAAAAAGACCAAGGCCCCCCCCCCCAATTTACATAAAAAACCACAAATTTCATGTGCCAGATGAAAAGAAACTAAATAACACTGGACATATACCAGTGAAATTTAGAAGATCAAAGCTATGTACATTTTGTAGCACAAAGAAGAAACCTCATAGAACAAGATACATATGCGAAATGTGCGATATGTGTCTATGCATGTACAAAAAAGACAAAACATGCTTTGAACAGTGTCACAAAAAATATTTGTTCTTCTGAAAGTTTAAAAAAAAAAAAAAAAAAAAAAAAAAAAACACTGAGTCTTTTTTTTTAATCCTTATTTTACTGAGTTTCTTATCCATGTATCCAAACATCCTTATTATATAGGTAATTATATTTTCACAGCTATAGAAAAATTACATAAATGTTTATTTAAAAAATTTTTCTGACGATTTACTTAATAAATAATGTAAAATAATGTCAAAAATTTACATATAATGCAGTTCTTCTTGTCAGTGGGGATGTTGGCAAAGCATATTTTGCTTCCCTTAAATAAAGCTAAGACTAGTCTAAATAAAATGCATGCTTTATTCCGTAAATTAAAATAAGCTAACACTGTAGCCTTTACATTTAAAACCATTTGAGGGAAAGAAAATTAGTATAATGCTAACTCAGAACACACACCTTTGCCGATACCAGCATACACATATACATACTCGGCCAAAACCGCCTTGATGTCATCGGCCAGTTAGTGGCAACTACGTTAGCTTACCATCGATTGACCTCGGATCAAAATTTGCATAAGGAAAACTAAAGTCAACAAACAGCCCTCTTTTCCTCATGCAAAAACAAAAACAAAACTTACACAGAATTACAGAAGCTCATAGTTCAATTCTATTATACGAAAACACTTATTGTCTTTAACACTGAAAACATCTAAACAAAACTTCCTTAAATTAACAGCAGTTGCCACTTTTGTAAATACGTCCGCAGTACTTAATTTACTGGTGATGAATTCAAGATCAAAGATGCCATCATGTACTAGTCTTCTAATAAAGTGATATTTTATTTCTATGTACTTAGTCCGGCGATTTGCTATTGGCGATTTAGAAAAATCAATGGCAGACTTGTTATCGAAAAATAGTTTACATTCTCTTAAATTAAACTTTAAAATTTCATCTTGTAATAAATTTTTCGTAGAATAAATGACTAATTTTTATAATGTAAAATTGGTATAGATGTATGTTTATAACCTCCATGATAAAACTACAAACTGCGCTGTATATATGAGCTACACTGATCAACAGATCATTATTCTGCTTTCTATTGTTCTTTGCATAAAAGCCTTAAATGGTGGCAAAAATTTTTCTTTTGGGGGGCTGGTTTATGCATTTCTATTGTATACAAAGAAATATATAAAGAAAAATATAAAGCACTCGTAAATCATTTTTAATTTGTAAAGCGGTTGATTATCCATTTGAGTGGAGATTTTTCAAAGGAAAAAGCAACAACAGGGTCACCATAGTACATTTGAAAAGTAAACATGATTTGACAGAACACTATACATTTTACATTCTAGAAATAAAAAAGATTGTCGAGTATGTTTCAACAGAAAAGTCATGGGGGACACAAATATCAGCATGACTTTGGAACCTTTCATTACACATAGGAGACTGTTTTGAAAAATTTCTTTCTATGTAAGAGTATAAAACCTTTGAGCTGCACATACTTTTCAATCTACTTACAAAGGCTAATATTTTAAACACCATTTATTAGTTAAATTTGTATATTTGCTTTAGTCTCTGTTTTCATAAACTTTCATTCTTAAATTGATATTTTCATTATAAAATAAAGTAAGAAAGCAACACATTTTAAATTATAAGCTAGTATATAAATATGGCAACAAAGCTCATGCATGGCATGCAGAGACAACAAATCACATGCATGGGCAAAGACAGTTATACCAACTCAGGGAGTTGAGCCAGGCTCACATGCATTTAATTATAGAATATTATGAATTTAATTAATGAATTAATTATTTGAATGTACTTAAATAATTTAACCACACTCTGCTGATCTGTTGGTATATATTACAATAATAAATCTCGAGCTTTAAGGGTTAAAGTATAAAAATAAAGAATATTAAAATACAAAAGCAATAAAATCCAAAAAAAAAAATAATATGGTTATTTTTTAGTATTTTTCTTAACCAACTTCACTCCAAGACTGTTTAAGTTTTCTTCAGAATTGGGCAGCTTTAAGATACTAAGCTACTGCTATCTCTGAAGTACTCATTTTTTTCTTAATTGGCAAGAGCATTCTTTACTAATGCCAATTTCTTACGTGATTAATATTAATCTGATCATAAAGTATAGAGTTTTTATAGTCTCTTATGTCTTGTAATCTTCTGTAGATGGTAGAGAAAATGAATTGTATAGAGAATATCAATTGTAGATCTCATTCTCTAGAAGTTGCACCACTAATAAGCCCATGTCTGTGCCCATACTGTTACCATTGAAGATAGAACTTATATTTCTTTGTATTGTAGATCATCTTACAATATTTATGCAGGAGATTATCATTAAATGTAATATATATTGTAAAGAGGATCTATGGCACATCATAAATATATGATGTATTTGATAGATTTAATGAAAACAGATAAGACCCTAACTCTCATGAAGAGAAAGACTAACCTAACTATGATTGTGACATGCAAAACATGTTTTTCTTGAATAAATAAAGAAGCAAACAAAAGGAGTAGGCATCTCACAAACTTAACAAAAGTCTCCTGTAAGCCTTTTGTTAAACTGTAAACTAAAGTATACTGAATACAAGTAGGCAATATGGCAGTAGCTTACCACTACCTCACTGTACTTGTATTTAGTACCTTTGCTTTCATATGTTAGCCATTAAATTTTCTTTGATTTTTTAAATTCCAAAGTTCTCTTTTTTAAAATGAAACTAGCTGTTTTTTTATTTATCTGTACCTCTTATTGATTCTCTGTTCACCTCTCTTTATTGGCATTGCCATATTAGTCTTTATTGATCTATATCTCTTATTGAAAATTCAGTGATTTAATTCAGTTATCTTTTTGAAAACTTTCTTATTTCTTGGTGTGTTCACTACATTTTTCTTTATCTATCCCTTCTTGAAAGCATTTGAATTGGGTAAAGCAGGGTTTCTTAAACTGTGGGTTACAACCCCCTTAGGGGTTGCGAAATCTGCAGCGGGGGTCACCAAAGATTTTAGCAATTTTGATATTTCTTTAACTAATTATAATAATTTTACAATCACCAAGTATTTTTACACAATGTATCTGAAAATAGATAAAGATAGACGATACAGACAAAGAAAAAAACGAAAACATTTCAACGAATTATTTTTTTAATATAAAGGTTCATTTTCCTTACTTTGCACATGACGCTGTCATTTCATCTGTTACTTATTTAAAATTTTCATATTGTTCTGTGTCTTAAAATTAGAAATTAATGACCTTTAAACTGCAATAGTATATTACAGCACAAGTGAAAAAATGGACAGTTTCACTTACGTATGTGTCGGATTTGTGCAATACTTATGGGGTCCCACAAAATTTTTGTAAATATTATGGGGTCGTGAGAAAATTTCAGTGATAAAAAGAGGTTGTGAGTGAAAAAAGTTTAAGAAACCCTGAGCTAAAGCATAGTTTACTTTGTTAATTTCAATGGATAATTGTCTCTTTTCTTGCATTAGCCTGCCTTGCTTTCTCTTACCTGAGTATGAAAAATGTCAATGTCATGCATGAGAAGCAGCGCTTCTTCAGATTGAAGATTTAAATGTTCCTACATGTGAGACACAAGCTATTTTGAGATGCTATTTTTCAGGCAGAAAAATTCAGTAGTTATTGAATATTTCAATTTAAAATTTTGATTTGCATGAATAATATGTTGAAGATAAATTCTCATCCTGTATTTTATATCAGCAAAAGCCTTTTTATTTTTATTTATTTATTATTTTATCTTGCTGCAGCAAATTGTACAAAACTTTTATGTTTTCTTTACTTGTTATAAATTAATTATCTGCCTGTAATAGCCTGAATTTCTTTTATTTTAGCTCAAGTCTTGATAAACAGACCAAAGATGGGAGCACAGCTCTTCACATATGCTCGCTGAGGAATCAGGCTGAATGCATGAAACTATTACTACGAAGTGGTGCTAATCCTCAAATTGAAAATCGTGAAGGGAAAACCCCATTAGACATTGCCAAAGAGAAAGAACATCATACTTGTGCTGAATTGGTATGGATAAGATACGTATTAGTATTGTTGTAACGTCAAAGTGTTTTTATATTTAAAGACTAAACTGTGTATGTGTCTCACATTTCAATATTTAATGATATCTTATACACATATAATTGAAATCTATTAATTTTCTATGTAGCACCTCTGATTACATAGTATCTAAGAAAGCCACTAATGTAATAATTAAAAAATATTTTCTAAATAAAAATTTTAAAAAAGATATGAAATGTCCCCAAGATTAACTATGTGTATTTATGCATTTATTTACTTATTTTCTAAATGAAAATTTTTAAAAAGATATGAAATCTCCAAAAAATTAACTATGTGTATTTATGCATTTATTTGCTTGAGTTTTTTTTAAAGAGGGATGAATGAATTTTGCTGAATGAATTTTTTAATTTGTGTTGAATGAATTTTAAATGTACATGGTGTCTGATGTGTGAAAAGTAATAGATGTGAGTTTGTACCTTTTTTTTGACAAATTAAAAAATCTTGAGGATATGAAATAGAGATTTAGTTTGTTGATGTTGTGTGAAGTAAATTGGAATTACATTAATATATTTTTTTATGTGTAACATTTTGATATTCTGTAAATTCATTTTATATGGCAGTTCTGTATCCAGTTATAGTATTGGATGTTTAAATAAATGTTGACTGTAGAACCACGTAGTGGTTGGTCAGATCATTGTTATTTTAGCAGAAACCAAATTAAGCAGTTTTGTAAATGTTGCCAGATTTAATTTTAGATCTTATTAAAAGTTGCAGCTGTTTTGTATAAAAATACTTTTGAGCCACTTGTTTTTCATGCCATTATCTGAAGATAATTTTAAATTGAGAAAACCAAGGATAAAAAGATATTTAAAATGATATCAACCATTGATTCAGGAAAAGTAAATTTACCATAAATAGCTTAAACCAGCTCTTTTGTTTAATTGTATGAAAATTATTTTTATTTACATGAAATTACATGCAAATAACTGCATGTCCTAATAAACAGCGGCATTAATCAGATGCTCAAGCTGTCATGCTCAAAGAATGTGTCGACTAGGCATTTCCGCTCTGTCCCACAACTGAATGGTTAATCACAGCCTATCAGAAGGTCTGAAGGGTCTAAACCATATCGACAAGCTCTCTTGTGCTACTGTGCATATTAATTGTTACATATTGCATTAAAAATGAGCAAAATTTAACAAGATTTTCCTTACTTTAAATGATTTTTGCAGTCATAAAATGTGTGAGTACATTTAATGTTGTCACCTTGATAGTAGTATATGCTAAACATGTTTCATATCTTTGAAGTAATTTATTCATTAAGTAGAACAGTTAAGAATATTTTGTATTGTAATTGAATTGCAAATTGATAATTTTTATCATACTGAATTTAAAATATATCTAGCACTTCTATAAAAATGTAAATGAAAAAGAATTCGAAGAATAATGCCTTTTTCTGAATTGTGTCATTTCTAAACTATTCCATGTCATATGACTTGCATGATGTTGATGGCATAGCTAATTCAGAACTTAATCTGAAACTTTCTGTTCTCAATAAGCTGCCATACTGGATAACTGCACACTTTTGCTTCTACCTGTTTGCACTAAGATGTTGCTTTACTGCTCTCTTCCTATCGCATCAGTATCAAAAATCTAACACATCCTTGAATAGGCACGATTAGAGTACTAAGTGCATTGTGGCCGCAAATGTTAATTGAAATAAAGATTTAATCTGCCTTGGCTGCCAAGTTTGCTTTCCAACATGGATCAATATTCTATGCCTCCAACATCGCTGAGTCTTTTTCACAACACACACATGCACGTATATATGAATAGGAAGCAATTCAGTGTTTATTGTTGGAAAAGTGTTATCTGTATAAAATTTATTATAGCTGTAATTGAATTTTTATATATATATATATAGCAAAATGTATCAAATGTATTTCACAGTTAACAGAAGTTTGGTGCAGAAACTAATAATTAAAATTAAACATTTTGAATTTTTAGTTAGAGCATGCTATGCAGAACAAGAAAACGTTGTTTGAGAATGTAAATATTGATTGGGGATTATCTCAAGAAGATGGTTCCACTGATTTTAGTGATGAAGATGGTGATGAAAAGGTGATACTTTTTATCTTTTTTCTCCTCTCTTTTTCTCCTTTTTTGAATTTTACTTTAAACAAAAAAATAGTTATAATAAATAGAAGCAGAAATTATGTCACATCTTTCAATCTTGCTTAGAATATCATGGTCTTTTTTATGTAAAACAAGGTGTTAAATATTATTTTGAAGCTTCAGGTAGCCAAGGATTTGACTGTAAAGCATGAAAGTTCCCATAAATATGGTCACAAATAAATGGTATTTTCTTGATTATAATTGCTGTCCCAATTTATATGTTGAATCCTTTTTTTCCACTATATATACTACTATAATTGTCTGAACAATTTCAAAATGTATGCCTGTATTCTTAAAGGTATTGTGACTATATTTTTTTAACATATATATGTGAGTTGGCCGCTTCAGGAGTTAATGAAGTATCTTTGTGTGTAATATGTTTCAAAATTAAATATATACAATTAAAAAAAATTTCTATTTATAAACAATATATCAGTATTTAATTTCCTGTATTACAACTTTTTCTTGTAAATAGTCAAACCAAGTTGGAAAAGAAATGCTGCTTACAATTAAAAATTAGGGAAAACTAATGTTGGTTTATAGACTTTTATTCAAAATCAGTGCAAATATGCAAACAATGCTTGCTTTTTTCGGAGGGTGTTTTATTTTAAATAGACAGATATTTCAGAAGTTTAAATAAATTGCTTCCATTGTAGGCAATAACAGTGGATTAGTTTAAGAGGTGACTAATCTCAAATAGTGCTAAATGACATGTATTATATATACAATGTGAATCATTTAAAGCAGTTTCTTTTCATCTGCATTTTCTTGACAGTACATTTTTAGAAATGTACATTACATATTAGCAGAGTATTTGTAATTAATATAATTTTTGTTATTTAAAATTTATAAGCTGTCTTTAAATGAATAGTTCAATATATGATTAAAATGTAATGGACTAATGTGAACAAACTGGAAACTTAAATATAATTCATAATATAAACTCGAAAGATACAATGAAATTATGTGAATGTATCACAGATTACATAGAGTGCTATATTTGCATTTTCCTCTTAATTTATATGTAATTAAAAATATCACCCACTTCTCTTTAAAATGGGATAGAGGAATCTAAAATTATGTCAATTATGTATAAAGTGCCAATGTACTCTTTAGAGTACATTGGCATTATATTTAGAATGCTTTGTAGGTAATTATATCATATTTGTTTTCACAAATTTGTAAAGTGAATATAGAAAATTAAGGAAAAGTTAGAAGCATCGTACTAGCCTCAAAATGTCTGTTAAGTTTTCTAGTAATTGAATTTAGTCTTTTTCATTACCAAATAGCCATGCTTTAACATCATGTATATTGTTCAGACTGAAGATAGAAGATAAACCAAATATATGCTGGGGTCAACATAGTAGAATTTAAGAAAAAAATTATTTAAAATTGGCTTTTCTGCAGATTTTTATTTCAGTATCTAAAAATTTGTAGTATTTTAATATTGCAGCAGTTTTGTTTTCATCTTATTTTGATTATCATAGTAATTTAAACTGCAGAGGCAGGGGGTCAGTAACAGATTGAAGTTTGAATTCTGCATACTTAAAAACTATTAACATGTTGACTGCCGTGGGGGTCACCGGTGACCAGCACTTGGCTACAGTGCTGTCGGTGCCACCAGTGACCGGCAACGCGACCAATAGTAAAATTCGTATTTAGAGTAAATATCAATACTGATAAATTTTTAAATAGTATCATAATTACTGTAATGGTTTGAAAAATAATAAATCGTAAAAATTTAAATTAAAAATCGCAAAAATGGTCCACAGATGTTTGGGAGTTGCCGATGACCCCCAGCACGAAAAATGCATTAAGCATGATTATATAACACATTGTCTTCTGTAGATAATATTTCAACATAATACACATCACATAATGAAAATTTCTTCAAGTTGGCATCATGGGCAAACCAAGTCAAATGCACGTGGCAGTCAACGTGTTAAGACATCATGCTTATAATAGTTCTTTTTAATGAACTTTTGCACTTTGTATGCTCACTTTTCAGCTGGAATTAAAAAATAATATTCTTTCTTAAGTGGCCAAATCATTCTTGATAGCTTTGAAAGTGTGATGCTAGCATATGGAACTTAAATCTTTAGTGCAATATGTGCCGATAATTTCCTCAAGATGGAAAACATCTGTTGCTGATATACAGACATTTCACGTATCATAAAACTTCCAAATTGTATAGAGATCGCTGTGAGAAACATATTGCTGTTTCTTCTTGAATTTAATTGCTAGTTGAAGGGAAAAGGGGGAAAAATCTTGAAAAGTGTACATTTTAATCTTGAAACTGATTTATTGGGGTGTGAAAAAATTGCAAAGGAAAAACAAAATACCTCAAAAAGAAATTTAAACCTTTTTACATCAACAGGATGTTTATGCAATATAAAAACCACTCAGAAATTTTAGAAGGGAATATATGTATCTAGCATGGTAAGCAAATATTATTTTTAGAGCTGTTTAGTAAATATAAAGCTAATCTTCCATTAGTGTCTTCATCAATGTATTAATGAAACATGCTTATCAGTGTTAAAGGGTATTGACAGAAATAAAACTTCTTGAAAAAGTAATTAAAAATTATATGGCAAAAGCATTGTTTAACACATTACAGTGTTTGCCAGTTGATTAATGTCAAAATATTGAATTTAATGCAAACTTTTTTAAAACTTAAAAATGACAAAGAAATAATCTTTCGTATTTTGCTATAAATCTTTCTGTAACACAATTTAAGCAGGAAACAATTAAACTTGTTTTGTTCAAATTGTTATTAAAGCGTGGGAAACAAGTAAACTCATTTTATATAGACTGTTATTAAGTTATTATATTAGACTGAAACCCTTTTTATCACCAACACATGAGACTATGTATTGGAAATTCGAAAGATATGCTCATTTTAAAACTATATTGCGATATTGCTGTTAAACTGAATTTTATGGCTCAAGTGTGGAGAGCATGGTATTTAATAAATCAAGGTAACACACAAAATGTTAAAAGTGCCCCTTTGAACGTAATCTAAAATCAAAAATCAAAATAAGTATAAAAAAAATTCATTGTGACTATCTGACCATTGCACCCCGGCGAAAACAGACATGCTGCATGCATACCTGTTTGTCATGTAACTGTTGTGATAACATAATACTTTAACTTATGAGTACTTTTTCATGATTTTTCAACAGAAAAGGAAAGTGCAGTTAATCAAAAAATACTTAGCTTTTACTAAAAGATTATAATCATCTTTTCTAGCTTCACTAGAATATTTGTATAAGCTTATACTGATATTAAATTTTTTGAGTTTTTTATGGCATAATAATATAATTTTTATATACTATAGGGTGGCCAAATTACTCCAGAACACTTGAACCGTTCTCGACCGTCCAGTGTTGTGGGCAATGAGTCTCCAACCAGTAGATCGAGTTCTATAAGTGAAACTGTGAAACAAAGCCCACTTGTCACACCACGCACAATGCCTCCTCCACCTCCTCCCCAGAATAAAAAACCATTCAGTAAGATATCTATTTTTAATTGTTTATGTATAAGTTGTTCCCTATATTCCACTATGATTCTTTTTCTATTGTGTTTGAATAAGCACTATTTAAGTTTATTCTATATAACCATATTCTCTTCCAACAATTTGTGTAAACTTCTAACATTAAAAGTTCCTACGCATGAGCATAGTCACTAATAGAAGCTTTAGTAAATTAAAATTGTTCTATATATTAACTGATATCTTAGCAAAGGTTTCAACAAAGATACAGCAAAGGTTATTCAGTTACGATAAAACATTTTATAAAAAAAAAACTGAATGAAATTTTGCATGAATTTAAAATTCATCTGTTGCTCTGAGTTCAAGCCTAAAGAAGAATTTGCCAAGTAAGATCAGAACTGATTAAAATGAAAAATGAAATAATAATAAAAACATGATGTATGACTATTCTCGTTGTGTTTCAAAGCAAAATTAATGCAAAAAGAACTCTTGAGAAAGCAAAATTAATGCAAATTACTGCTAGAAAATCAAATACAAATTTATGCAAAATTTTAATAGGAGGAAAATATAGAGGCTTCCTAATTGGAAGCAAACTTAATGTCATTAAGGAAGGTAACTGAATCACTAAATGTATAGAGATGAAGATAGCATTAGTATATATCTTCATTTTCTGCTAGAAAAAGAGAATGATTATATTAGTAACCTTTCGCATATCGAGCAATCAGTTTGGAAAATCGTGAAAGCTTTTAGAAACAATGATCAAAGTTCCTTAAGCTTATCACCCACTACATTAGCAAATTATACAATCTGTCACATATTGCAGATGCATTTGCTGACACTTTTGAAGATAATTTCATTACAAATGATCTTCATAATCCACATGATTCTAATGCCATCAATCATATAAATGACCTGCCAAATAATAGTATTTCGCATTTCGCTTTATCATTTACTGTGAATTTCTAAATCAACAACTGCTAGACATGTAAATCAATGCAAATATTCAGAAATTAGGACTGAGGATTTAAAAAGGCTTTTTGCTTTTAACACATTTGCTGCCAAAGCTGATTAAGTGCATCCGTTCACACGTGCCAAGATCCTATTTGCATTTTTCTGCTTTTCAGTTTTTTTTTTTTTTTTTTTGTGTGTGTGTGTGTGTGTGTGTATTATTATTTAAATAAAGGTATAACAGATTACTTTTAGTAGTATCTAAATTCACCCAAGTATACTTGTAGTTGACATATGAAAGAATATTTTAATATAGGTAAACAATCCTCACCCTTTCTACGCATTCATGTAAAACTACTACTCACATACCATACATTATTTTCCATTAGTCTTACATGACTTATCAAAAAAACATTTTAGCAGTCCCTTTAGAACATACGCCAAATGAATAAACCCAAAATAAAAATTGCATTCAAAACATTTAGTTTTCGAAACATTAGTTTTGAGAAATAAACGACCCATTTTAGCATTCCAAGTCCACTTTATCCTTTCCTACATGCCAGACAGCTAAACATTGCATGCATGCATGCATTTGTTGTGGCAATACTCAGTCATTAGGTATGACTATCAATATCAAGTTATCATGTAGCCGGCAAATAAACCTAGTTTGCCAATTACACATTCTCATAGATGGTGGGAAATATGTTATAGAAGCTAGATATCTACTTTAAGTGAAATAGGATAAAGGTTTAGAAGAAGAGAATAAGTAACGGGTGGCCATAATTAAACTGACAGTGCTCTTCGTGTTCTGTAGCGCGTTCTATTGGTGAGAATGACGCCACATTTTGTAGGAAGATTAAACAAGACAGGGGGACGAAGGATTCTGCGAAAAAAATTAGTTTCAAAAGTCACCGCTAGGAGAATATTTGGCGCTGTGTAATGGAAAATAGAGTGTTAACAAATTTAAATCAATACGGAAATTACCTTTTATTTTGCATTCAAATGAGGTTCAATGTGGCTGCTGTTGTTGTGGACCACATATTGCATTCTGTGCACAGTATGCACAACAGCAGAAAGTAACATGTCTGCAGGAATCTCTCGTACAGTCTGTGATATGTTATCCTTCAACGTAGCCAGGTCCTGGACCACTCCTTGATAGACCTTGGACTTAAGGTAACCCCATAGCCAGAAGTCGCATGGGGTAAGATCAGGTGACCGAGGTGGCCATGCATTTGGAAAGTAGCGGCTAATGACTCTTTCTGTTGTGAATTTCTGTCGTAGCATCTGTTGCACCCGTACGACAACCTGTGGAGGGGCTCCATCTTGCATGAAAATGATTTTCCCCAGGCATTGTCTTTGCTGAAGTGCCGGAATGTCAAAGCTGTTCAACATGTGGCGATATTTCTCTCTGGTAACAGAACAGGTTTCCGGTCCTGTCGGGGTTCTCGTAGATGAGTGGACCTACGATAAATTCCGCTGTGAACCCACACCAAACAGTTACCTTTGGTGAATGTAAGGGAATTGCTGTGACTGCATGTGGTGATTTGTCATTCCAAATTCGGCAGTTCTGAGTATTCACAGTTCCATTCAGGTAAAAGTGGGCCTCGTCTCCCCATAAGATTTTCCACGGCGAAGCATCATCCACCTCCATTCTGGCAAGAAAGGTGAGAGCAAAAGTCAATCGCTTATCATAGTCGGGGTACAGTAACTCCTGTACACGGCTGATCTTGTAAGGATAGAAGTTGATAATCTTTCGTAAGATTTTCCATACTGTACTGTCAGGCATATCCATATTCCATAAGGCATATCCATAATAAAAGGTAATTTTATTCCATATTAATTTGCATTTGTTAATACACTAATTTGCATGTTTTAATTTTGTGCATTAACTGAAAATGGCAAACACAAAAAGTGAATTGGATAATTCAGAAAGTGAAAGCAGTGATTGAAGGCTCAGACATTAGTTAGTATCTATGAAATCGTAGTAGGTGAATCTGGAAATTCTTTGTCTTTGGACTGATCTTGGGGTGATTAAATTAGTTCAGAACATCACTTTGAAGATGTCTGAATATTTTGTAAGATCAATTTAGAAAATTTTTCACTGCCCCCCAACTGAGATTTCCATTGTTTGCCTATCCTTGTGTTCACATGAATGTTGAAGAGAATATGGGTACTGTACAGTTCTTTGAGCAATTTTTAATGAAGATCTTATAAATAATAATACTGTATTAGAATTAATCGCTAAGCTGAATGGTCATGTCAGGGAAATAATTAATGTCCACATTCACTTTAAAAATATTGACAGTCTATTAACACCAAATGAAATTTTTGTGTTTTTGGAATTGGTTGTGCTTGCAAGGCACTGTTAGAAAACCTATGATTGAAAGGTTGTCCAGGAAATTGGGATAAAGCCATGTAATATAAGTTTATTATTACCTGCATATGTGAAAAAGGCTAACATTACAGGAGTAATTTATGCAAAATAAGCACTCTTCATATTTATATATGTGTAGAAATCCAGTATTGCAGGGATAACTGTAATTTTTATCTCTATATATAAGGTTTCTGGAAGAAAATAATGCATTTTTCATACCTTTAATAACATTTATTACACATTTTAATTTCTGTCACTTATACTTACTCTCGTTACTTGACCATTGTAATGATAATTTGTAAATATCATTTTTAAAAAACATCTTCTTCTTAGAGGCAAAGAATTCAAGTAGTGCTTGGTGGACATCTGCTACAGTTTTCAATTTTTTTCTCTTAAAAAAATTTCGCAACGAGAGAAATAAATTATGATCATAGGGTCCGAGGTCTAGGCAATATGGTGGATGCAGTAAAATTTCTTAGCCTAGCTCTGTGATTTTCTGGCTAGTCACCAAAGCAATATGTGGTCTTGCATTATCATGGTGCAGTATGATGTGCTTCCTATTGAACATCAGCGGCTTCTTTTCTTTGACTGCTGTGTTTAAATTATCCATTTGCAGACAGTATCATCCCAAATTGAGCTTTTCTTTTAGTTTCAAAAGCTTATGATGCATTGGTCCTTAGATGTCCTACCATATACACAACATTCTCTGATTTAGTCTCAGACACAGGTAAGAAGAGAGGGGGTGGTTGCTGAAGCTCACAGTACGCTCTTTACCTAATGATGTTTTTATAGGTAATTCTATTTCCATCGCCAGTTAGCATCTTGTCCAAAGGTTTGTTTTTGTTCCAAGCAAACACATGATGACTTGATCATGCAAATTTTTCTCACTTAACTCATGAAACACCCATCTGAAAGACCAATCCTAGTTTCCAAATAGGATCTGAAATGCTTTGTTGAATTAAGCTTTTTTGCAAATTCCAGTGGAAAAAGCATTTACTCTATCATGGTCTTGACAATATCATCACTGATCAGAGATGGCTGCCTTGAGCATGGCTTATCGTTAAGATCAAAATCATTTGCTTCAAATTTTTTTAGCCATCTCCTGCACATTCTGCCCAAAACTGCATATCCACCAACAACTGTCGCTAAAATTCAATATGCTTCTTTAGCATTTCTTCCTTGTTGGAATTCATGCCAAATGCAGTGTCATAAAATAACTTTTTTGATAGCCATGTATCAAAAAAGATGATGATCATTAAATCAAAAAAGATGATCATTTGATAGCCATGTATCAAAAAAGAGGATGATGACATTACATGGTGACATCTCACTTAATAATAATATGAGACAGTTTTGTTTCAGTTTATTTAGAAGGGCAGATGTGTATAAATGCAATGATAAAGAGAGGTGATCATTTGTTTCTCAAATGTACATCTGCATGCATGTTGAAATTTAAAATAATATTATTGGACAGAATTTTCCGATAGACCTTATATTTTATTTTTGACATATGTATCATTTTTTTACATGTGATTTATCTAAAAGTGCATTTTTCTTCCAAATTCTGAAATAAAAAAATAGCCAATTTAGTGAAATGTCTTAAACTAGGAAGTTATATCTTAAGATGCAAGTTATCTTTTATGGGAATACAACTAACAAATTTGATTAAACGTTGAAGTTCTGTGCTCTTATCTTTATGTAGACAGTCAGGTTGTAATAATTTAGAAAATAATTTGAAAATATGCAGTATATTAAACGGACTTTATTTTAAATCAGTGACCTCTCTCTTTTTTTTTTTTTTTTTTTTTCCCCCTGTTTGGAGGGGTTCGATTCATATGGTTTCATCATTTTAATGTTTTGAGATGTAGACACCTTAATATAGCACTTTCATTTTTATCTTTCAAGATATGGTAACTCTACATAATTTTTTATTTAATTATATTTGCACAAACAAATCAAAAATACAGAGGATGTTTACGCATTAAAGATTTTGATTTTTCCCATGAATTTAAGTATTAATTTGAAAATGCAAACCTGACTGGCATCAAATTGGAATAAGGTTTAGTTATCATCTGCAGCATTAAAAATATTTTTTTTTTTTTTCCGAATGTCGCTGAAAAATAAACATTGGATCGAAGGCTGTATTTTTGCACTGTCCGAAGAGAAATACTCGTGTTCAATTATTAAAAAAAATATGAAAAGCATGGTATAGTTAATATGAAAGGAAAAAAAATGTCAAAGTTTACATCTGACTGGGAAAAAGGCAAAAAATGCATACCCAACAAAGGTTTGTTTACATCTGATTGGGAAAAAGGCAAAAAATGCATACCCAACAAAGGTTCGTACAGCTGTTATTAAATCTAAAGTCGCATCGCATGTTTTAAAGGAAAATCCAGTTCCCCAAAGACCTATTGCAAAATCTTTAAATATCTCTGTAGGAACTGTGAACAAAATTATAAAATCTGATTTAAGGCTAATCAAAACAAAGAACATGATGTTCATCGCCGAAACATATGTCTCAGTGTAAGACTATACGCAGATTGCTGTATGAAAATTATTTGGCAGGGGAAAGATGAAAATTTATAGTTACAATTAATGAGGCTTGGATATACTTATCTGATTGCAATATAAAAAAATCAATTTACTGCCAAAAAGAGGAGAAAAAGGCTTAATATGTTGGTTCGTTGAAAACAAAGTAAATTCTCTTATAACAGAAAACTTAAAATAAGGAAAGTAGAGGGAAAAAATGTCAAAATTAATTCAGATTATTATCAGAAATACGTTTTAACACCTATTTTTAAAAAAGAAATCACATCTCTTTATCCAAACAATCTTCACTTTATTAAGTTCCATCTGGATAAGGCTCCAAGCCATACCTCTAAACTTCTGCTCTATTTTTTGAAACAATGAGAAATGGAAAAAAATTGAAGCTATTCCCTTTAATTGTATCCCATTCAAGTCCTCTGATGTGTCTGCTAAAGATTACTGTGCATCTGGACTTTTAAAACAAGGTTTTTATAAGCTGCATCCCAAAACATTGGATGGACTCTGGAAAATTGTGAAGAAAGAGTCGAATAAAATCAATCTTCATATTTTAAGAAAAGGACATTTATCTTGGAAATCGGGATGTAATATGATAGTTCAACAAAAGGGCTATCAGACTGAGTGTATTGGAAAATAAAATTCTAAGGTTTGTTTATGTATAAAACTTTGCAAAATCTTTACAAAAATGTGTGAACAACCCTGTAAATATTTTCATTTCAAAGGAAGTCACTGGATTTGAATTTGAGAAGATGAATAAAACTAGTGATAATGTTCATGTTATTGTGACTAAAAGTATTTTTAAACCTTTTAACAGTCCATGATTGAAGCAATAATACAAGATTTTTTTCAATATAATTGAATTATTTTTATTAAATCATTTTCACTAGGCATGAACATGTCTTTTTTGTTTTCTATAAATTAATTCATGCCAGATCTTGCCCAGATGTAAGTATAACTTTAGATTGAAATTATTTTGAATGAAGTTAAACTCTCCCCTCCTTCCTCCTTGAGAAAGTATAATGCTGGGTTTAACTTAAATTTTATTTCCAAAAGTGTGATGCTGATATTCTTTAAAGTAGACTTACATTTTGTGTTGTAATATTAGACGATTAATTTGGAGAAATATTATTAATTATTTAGATATGCATATGTAATTTATAGAATTTTAAAACATTAGACAAAGCATGTTTGTTTGTGTACTGAAATATTGCAGCATAATAGGTAAGTTATTATTTTACTGGAAATATGAAACACTAGTATGTTATATTTGTACTGTGTATTTTATAAAATAAAGCACTATTTTAAATTCTAAGCACTTTTTATAGCAATTTTGCACTCTGATACACTGGCAATTACTTTATCCTAAAAATTTAGTTATATCTAAGATGCACTTTTCATATTCCTCACTGTGTATATTCTGATAATATTACACAAAAAGCACCCACTTTATTTAATTATACTAAATGTAGCTAAATGGCTTCTTCCTAGGTTTGAATTATTCATAATATGTTCTTTCTTACTGGGACTGTGACTAATCAAATATAAAAATTTCGCTTAATTGTTACAAACATCTCAGTTGTGTCATATTGTATGATGCTGTAGAAAATGAAATTTCCTTGTTTGCATGTTATCCTAATTTCTCTTTGTGCTTCACATATTTTGACATACAATTATATTCAAGGCTTTCTTTTAAAAAAATGTATAATAATGACAATTGAGTAATTATTGTATTGATTTTTTTATTGTTCCTCTGAAGCTTAACAAGTATTAGCTATAATAGTAATCATGTCCTGTTTTATGTGCTTTCAGTGTAATATACATATATAGAGTCAAAAAATGGATCAAGATTTTACTCAGTAGCTAATATGGGCAAGTAAACTGGGCTATTTTCTTTTTTCTTTTTTTTTTTCGGGGGGGGGGGGTTAGAAAGCATTAAAAGAGGGATTAAAACATCAGAGGATTCTTTTTCTTTTCCCTGTATGTATGTTATAAAATATCATGCTGCTTAGTTACGATATGATTTACATATAAGGTTGTAACATATGAAATTGCTAGTTTTGCATGCAAATTGATCTACTTTAAAATATTTTAATTGTTTTTTTGCAAGACTAGGTTACTAAATAGATCTCCCCACCTTAATCAAGTTTGATTCAATTTTTCTTTTTATATGCCATCAGGTGTTACTTATAGACATGGATAAATCTATATATTGTTCAGCTTATTATTATCTTACTGGGCTCATTATCACTTCACTGTAATAATCCAAAAATTATCATAATCTGAATACATGTGTATGTTTATGAGCTAATTTTTATTGGATACTTAATTTATAACCTATTTTAAGAATTTTATTGTACTGTGGAAATAAAGAACTGTTGTTATTTCCAGGTGTACTATGAATTTTAAGAATTTTTTAACTTTTTAATTTTAATTTTTTAATATTTCAGCTTGAATTTTTCAATTACCAATTATAGAAGGCAGAACTAATGTTATTGCCAGGTTTTTGTATATCATGTCGTATGCACAAAAGATTGCTTGAAACATACAGATCTTGGCATTTCAAACAACTTATTTTATAAAAAAAGAAAATCAGATTTAAATTAAAATACAGTAAGACCCCGCTTAACGCGGGGGATACGTTCCATCAAAGTAGAGCGTAATGCGAAACAACGCTAAACGAGGCTATCTTTACATGTAAATATTGGGGTTAGGGGAAGATGGCTAGGAAATTGGTTAGGTATTAAATTTAAAAAGTATGTTTTTTTAATAAAAATAAAACCAAACATTTATTTCTTAAAGCCCAAATTAATACCACATTATTATTTCTTGCAAAAATAAAAACAAAATATAAATAACAAAACGAATATTCTTAAAAAAAAACAAATAAAATTCTCAGTCAGTCATATTTAGTTAGCCTTCCGCGTTTTCAGTGTTCTGCCTTTTTGTGACAAAAGCATCTAATGTTGTTTGCTTTTTTCTTTTGCGTTGTTCTCTTAAAAGTTCTTCATAAACGGATAGAGCATCTCTAAACACCACGCCTTACTTTTGAGCTCCTGTCAAAATTCGGATCATTTTCAATGAATTGATCCATTATTTCAGTTATGGTAGACAAACTCCTTTTTACAAACGCCATCGAAAGTTCTTTTTGCTCTTCTTCTGAATCACTGCTGTCAACATTTTTGTTTTCTTCTTGTTCAGTTAATTCCTTGAGCTCATCATTAGAAAGACTAGCCGCTGCTTCTTGAATTATTTCTACGACATCTTCCACATTTACCCCTTCAAAATGTCTTACATACGCACCAAACAAAAATACAAGTACACTCTTCGGGTATGTTTTGAAACTATCGCTGCATAATATTTCGGGGAATCTCCGTATGCTGCGAGCGATTTCGTGGAATCCCCGGGTTGAAATAAAAGAGCGCTAAACCGAAACAGCGTTAAGCGGGGTCTTACTGTATAGATAAATATCATGCACAAATTTGATGTATATACTAGTCACCAAATAATTAAAGCCATAAAATGCTGGTAGTTTGTTTCAGATGATTAAACAAGCTAAGTTTAAAAGGCTTTCTATGCTTTTCTGATATGTAACACAAATATGAGGCACTTTTCCATGAAAGCATCCCTCACCATAATCATTAGAGCCTTAATGAACTTTGCCTTAATAAAGTAGTTTAAATAATAAATAAAGAAATAATAAAGTAGTCTTAATCCGAAAATTGGGATAAAAGTAAGCATGTTGAAATTAGCCATTTCATATGTTACAGTGTAATAAAGCAGAACTGTACAATTTATAGAAATTAAAAATCTTTGACAAATAGAAATTAAAAATCTTTGACAGAAAGCAAAAGTCTTAGTTGTTAATTATGTTTACTCATCCTCTCCCACTAACTGCTCTACCTTTGCTTCTTTTGCTTTACTTAACATGTTGATTAATTTCTACAGTCCCTGGTTTGAGTTCCCATGGCAGTATGAAGAAACGGGCAGCTCCCCCTCCACCTTCCCATATTACCAGTAACGACAGTCCTGCAACACCTTGCCATTCCCGTACTCCTTCTGACCCGGGGCTTTCCCAATCCCCCTCGGGGATTATCCATCGACGAAATCATTCCACAGACCTAGTTTCCTGCAGCTCTCATTCTATCAACAATTCCAGCTCATCTGTAGACTTCAGCATCAATGGCAATAATCTCAGGTTCCAGACAGCCACCATTACCCTTGGTAGTAAGAGTTATAGCCTCTTGAGTACTCCTTTATGTTATTTTATAGTTCTCCCTTTTTTTTTTTTTTTTTTTTTTTTTTGTGCCACACTGCTTGCTGCATCCTATTTAGTTGGTTTTGCTTATCTTTTGCTTGAATAGGTTTTACAAACCTTGTGTTTTTTTCTCCCATTCAATATTTTTGGTGGCTGTTAAATTCATCCACTACTCTGCATTTGGTCACAGTATTGTTACTAGTAATTGCTGGGCATTGATGATATAGAAATAAAATCATTTATCAGTGTTGAGGTTTTCTTTAGTGTAAATGTATGTTATTGTAGAAAGTATTTTAATTTGTTATTATCATGACTACATAAGAGCATAACAACAGGAGTGAATTGTGTATTACTAATAGTTTCTTTTAGTATAGTAAATTATTTATAATAATTTTAGATGAAACTAGTAAAACTTGTATTTTAATTTTTTTTATCTGTTGTACCTAATTAGGGTATACTTTTAATTATTAGGTAAAAAATGCCCAGTTCTGTTTGTTTATATTATATTCACTCATTTCCAATATAATCATTAATAATAATAATTTTAAAACACCTTTTGTAAATTAATTTTCTTGCTTGTATTTAAAAATATTTGCATATTTAGTTTCTGTCTATGTATTAGAGTAATTGTACATTCTTGTTCTTGAAAAGATATTCTATAAAATATTCTTTCTTAATTTTGGCTAATTTATATCATTGCAGTTAAATGTCCAGTTTCCTAAATTTGTATTTTGTAATTATAGCATATATTTTTTATTCTGATTGAGAACTTAAATAGTAATATTAAAAAAACTCAGATAAAAGTAAAAAAAAAAAAAAAAAAAAAATTAGTTTTTCTCTTTTTGTATCAATTTCTAGTCTATCCTTCATAAAATATGTTGGTGATGTTCTGTTTATGGATTGCAAGCAGATTTGTGGTTTTTCCAATGTATTTGAATAATTAGTTGTGAAAATAGTAGTGTTACTGAGTTTAAGGCTTTTTTTTAAATTTATTTTAATATTATTTTCAAGTAAAAACCAAATTTTGTCACTTTGCTTTTTACCATATTTATTGAATTTAAGCTTTTTATTGTCTTTAATTAAGCATACAGTGGTCTTGATAGTAAATTTTTTTAATTTGTTAAAATTAATTCCACTTAAGTATCTTATTGTTAATATTTAAATTGTTTTATTTTACTCATTAAAATAATTAACTGAAAAATAATGGCACATCTGTTTATTTTGCATTTCGTAGTTAAAAGTCTTGAGCAAATATTTAAAAATCCTCTCTTTTGTCCTTTTTTCTCTTTTATTTCATAGAACCCTTTTTTAATTTTTTAATAGGGAGGTAACAGTAGTGTTATTCAACTAGATTGTACTAGCACTGCAAAATACTTTTTTAAATAAATTTTAAATTATTTTAAAATAAATTTTAAAAATATTTAAATGTGCCAGATTAATTGTTAAAAAATGATTGCAATGTTTGTTTAAACAATTTCTTATTGTTATGTTTTAATATTTTTCAGTGGATAACTATGCATTTGTAAAAAAATACTCTGAGACACAGCTCATAAATTTAACTTTTTTAAGTACTTAAAATAGTCACTAGTTGAGTGACTTGGTTGTTTAATAAAAAATTATTGCAATTACTCATATATTTTCTTCTTCAGAACCTAAATGTTCAGAGAGGAAAATTTTATAGCTTTTATAGTTTTTAAAGGGAGAAAAAGGAACAATAATATTAAACAACATACATGAAAAGATGATATACTATTATTATTGTTAGTTATAGTTTTTAGCATGCTTTTGATTTTAAGCCTGGATTTTAGGAGCTCTACTTGCTACTACTCATTCGTTCTGCATTATGCTTTATGGTTTGCTATCGATACGATACATATGAATGTTTTCTTGGAATCGTGCGCTTTTTTTATATTTGATCATCGGCAGTTCACGACAGCGTGTTTTTTAAATTTCAACGATTTTAACCGTGAACAACCAGCGTATTATCCACACTGGTGAATAGTCTGCAGCTTCAAAAATTCGCATTTTAAACACAGATAGTCTGCGGACTATACGCGCGAAATTACAGTAATATCTTAAACTTGAAACCACATCTTCACTAATTCAGATGGCTGTCATCTTTTTTCTTGGGTCTAAACTATAATACCATTTTTCTTTTGAAAATTAGGAATGGTAGTAACTTTTTCCCATGAGGTTGTCTTTTCCAGCATTATTGTACATTCCAGTTTTTCAACTCTTGTAGACACAGACACTAACACAGAAGTCACCCAACACATAGAGCCAGATTTAGACTTGATAAGGCCCTAAACTATTTGAGATATGGGGCCCTTTATAAGTCTGTTATGTTTTTAATACTATTTATTTTATATTGTAATTTTTGGAGGGCCATAAGCTACAGCTTGTATGCCTTGTATGTAAATCTGCTCCCCCCACACACACACTGGCTGTGTTATTTCAAGGCATATAACAAAATTGCTTAGATATATTTTAATCTGATTAAGTATTTTTTTTTTAATTATCTTATAGTTTTGTATCTAGGGATGTTCTTTGCTATATTTCTGTAACAAACAATGTGTAAATTTTAGATCTTATAAAATAGCTTTAAAATTTAGTTTTTTAATGGAGTTATAACATTCTATTTTGGTACTAGTTTATTATTGAATTGAAATGTATAGTTTTAGATAAATTAGGATGATAAAGTTAATAAACTACCATTTTGAGAAGTAAGACCAAAATTTTTATGTGGCTAGAAAATATATATATATTTTAGGAGAATTTTTTATTACTTTTTTCCACATATTTAAATACATACCCACATTAAAGTTTTATTTTATAGTATGGCAGCCATTTTCAATATTTGAGGATAAATTTTATCCAAGTTGTTCACATAACCAGTAGCATGTTAATTATATAATTAAATAATAATAAGTAAATTATTTAACAGATATTTGTAATTTATTTATTTTTATTGTTAATAAAACTTTTCTATAAAAATAGGTCAAATTCAACCTTGGATTAACATTGTTTTTTTTAGCTTAACCTCTGAATAAGAAAAATTTATACTTGAGGTGAACTAGAAGAGCATTAAATTTTCACATCTAAGAACATGGCTCTTGATGTTGGAAAAAGAGAAATAGTAGTTTCACTAAAGCTATATTGATTTTTTTTTTTTTTTTTTTTTTTTTTTTTTTTTTTTAGTACATTTTACTGACGTCTACATGTTGAGTAATTAATTTTGGTTATTCATATTAATTACTTATCCATTTTTTCCCAGGGTATTTAAAAGCATTATCTCATGATTTAATTATTTCTGCCCTCCAACGCAGTAGATCATTGCAGAATTACTTTCTTAAGTATTACTAATTTATATTTCAATTCTTGCTCTGTTACTGCATATTCCCAATACTGCAGAATATTTTTGCTCCTTGAAATCAATGGACTTTTGTCAGTCTCTTTCAAAATGTGTAGAGTTTTTCTATAAAACTAGCAGTGCTCAAAAATTGAATTTTGTCTTATTTCATATTTGTCATTGATGTGCTTTTCTTCTTGCAAACAGACTTTGTATTAGTTTTATGCTATGAATAATATATACCTAAAATTCCTGTTTTATTTTTGATTTATTTTACTGGTTTGTCTATTAGTGTAATTTAATTTTTTAGTGAATTAAAAAAAGAGGTTTTATTGGTATACAGCTCCTTAATCCAAAATCTAAAACGTACTTTACGTTATATAATGGAAAAGGACACATGAGTTAATATAATACATCACAATAAGCATATTTTGTAAAAGTTCAAATTACCTTTCATGTTACATTCATATATTTTTTAAGATTTAACTAAACTATCATTATCCAACTTTCATAGTTCTGAATTAACACAACCAGTAAGCTGTTGCAACAAGCATGGAGAAATTATTGTTAAAGATTGTCTTTGTTTTGTAGTTAAACCACATAGACGAGTTTTGTGAGGCACCCTGGCAGATGGATTTTATATTGGGGAGGTGGGTAGTGAATATTCATTGAATTCACAAAAGCCAATCTGATGTCTCAAGAATTGTAAATTTAATATCTCATTGTTGCCTACAGCAAAAGATATAGGCATTATATAGTGCTAGAAATATTCAGGAAATATTATATTCTTAGAACTGAGAAATGATGAAAACGTTTACTTCTGCAAAAATTCTGTATATTTTATGCTAGTTAATGTGTCATCAGTGAAAGAAACTCAATATTTTCGAGTTCAAAAGACCAGACCATATAGTTATTTTAGCATTAAGGATTTCTTGCCAAGCTGATATTGCAAACTGGAGCCATCTATCAGGCTTATCTTCACTAAACTCTTATTTAAATTGAACCTTTTGTATAGCTGATATTAGAAATTAGAGCTATCTATCAGACTTATTATCCTTAAACTTTATTTAAATTGAATCTTTTATGGATACATTCATTTAATCATGTAGATTTAAGCTGCCTTTGTTACAGTCATAACAAAATTGACATTTTAAGACTTTCCACTTATAAACATATCTAAAACTGCTTCTTAGAATTGATTTCATGAGCATTTTTCTGAATTTTGGGACATATTGTGATGGCATACAGTTATTCTTATTCTTTGTTTTGATCTCTTAGAAACTTTATGTGAAAAATTTGGGGTGAAAAAAGAATATTCCTAACTCATGGTTGAGAGATATTTTTGAAGAGTTGTTGTCAGTTGTAAAGGATGGTTGCCTTTCGTCTGTTCTCAGTTAATACAGTCTTTTTTTCCTAACAATATTGGCTTTAAATGTCTCTAATTTATTCATTTTGTAAAGATAAGGTGTTATTTTCATGCAGTCTGTATTCACAATTTTGTAAGACTTTAGAATAGAAAATTAAAATAAATTATGTTCATGGACTAAAATATTATGAGGAAGAAAGTGTCCATGATGAGATTAGGTTTGAATAAAAGGCAAGAAGCAACATATGAAAATTGGTAAATCATTAGAAATAATAATAGAGATTATATTATGTGTACCAGTGGAATAGGTCTAAAGCATGGGTAATGAGTGAAAGTATTTTCTTACTAGATGAAAACCATATAAATTATTATTGGGAAAATTCATAAATAAAAGAAGTTTTATTTTTTTTTTGCTTTGAGATTAAATTAGAAATGGATCTGAGTTTAAAAAAAAAGAATTATAAGATATGTAAATATGAAAAGTAAAGAATTCAGTAGTTTATTAAAAGAAAAATAGCTTGTTTAAGTACTGAAAGGTGTAAAACAAATAGCTGAATTGCACATATTAAAAAATTTTGTTTTTATTGATTAGTTTCATTTGAATATTATAATATCCACACATGTAGTTAGTTTGCATATAAATATATATAATTGAGGGAAAATTGCTGTTAAATAATTATAAAAATTATTTAGATTTTTCATTAAGAATCTTTAAATTTTCCCATTAAATTGTGCATAGTTAGTGTATTTGAGTGCAAAATATCATGCACATGATCGGTTTATCAAAATATAATTTAAAGTCAGTTTAGAATTATTTTTAGGCATTGAAATTATAAAGTAAAATGTAAATTTAATATATATATATATATATTTGGTAATTTATATTTTATACTATTTCAGCACCAGGTGCCAAACAGGTGCTGCCAAAGTCAAATGAATATCCTGTGCTCAAAAGGTTTGATATATACGTTTAAATTAATATTGTTTTTAATTTTTATAGCCTTAGTTAAATTCAAAATTTTATTTGCAAAATATGTGAGTAATAATATTTTAAAAGGCATGTGGATTTCAATATAAGAAGGCAGTATTTCTTGCAGTGTGTTACTGATTGTAGATTATTGCATATTGAAGTTAATGTATTGTTTGGCATATGCTTTGAGAAAAGTTGAGTTATGACTTGTACATAATTTTCCCCCCTGTTTATCTAATATCTTTGACATTTTACTTATATCATATTACATAACCAAATAATCTTAGAAATACTGATTCCTAAACACATTATTTTAAATGTTAACTAGTTGTTTCTTAACATATATGAAGTGTATATGGAAACCATCATCTTTAGATAAATTTTAAATTTTTTACGCAGATACATATAAAATAGTGTATTTGTGTGTTAATTATATATCTTTAGGAGCTTAGACATCTTAAAATAAATTTGAAGTTTGTGTATATAAACATGTAAAATATTTATCTTCATTAGTATGGAAAAGCCCTCAGTGTCTAATACAGGCTCCTTACAAAGACCTAAGTGTCCGCCACCTCCTACTCCATCAGGTAAGAGGTGTTTCATATTACTTTGAACATTTTTTATTGCTACTGAACTTCTTATTCAGGTGTTTTAAGGAGTTTTTAGATAATTCAAATGTTTTATTGCTTAATTTGTTTAACTAATTTGCAAGAAGTTTTGTCAGGATAATTAAAAATCATGTGTATAAAAGAAATTCTAATTTGTCCTCTTTATAATGTAATATTTAAAAAATGTATTGACTAAATGAAACCTTCCTTTTCAGATATTAAAAAAATCTGAATAATTTTTCTGTTTTTTTTTTCCCAAGCGAGGAGGGGAAGGCAAATAGGTTTTAACTATTTAACTCATTAACTATATCATTAATTATAGCATATTTTCAACAAAAATACAATTGAAAAATATTAGCATTTAACTCAAGCATAGAAATCATACAGAAAAACAAAGTTTAAAAAAATTTTAATATATGAGATAAAAAATATGTAAAATTTAATTTTAATTTGCAATAGCCTCTTAACGCTTCATTTTAATTTGACTATTATTCTTTCCTCTCTGAAAATAAGACCTCTCTAAACTGTGTAATTTCAAAATTAATAGCTGTCATATAAGTTTTACATAATGTTGGTGACGTAGTATATGATTTTGCAAACTGAAACAGCCAATAATAATTTTTGAAAGTTATCAATGAGCTAATGAAATAATAAAGAAATCGAAGCTAAATCACTCTGAACTAAGATTTTGTCTTGAACATATTTCACTTGCTTTCTCTGTCTCTTGTCAATTAGATGCTATCAAACTGCTTCTCTTATTATTACAATAATATCAAAAATGTGGAAAATTTTCGTATTAAAATGAAATGTTTAATATGAAAGAAACCTGTTTATTACACTAGGATATTTGTGGCTACAGATGCTAACAATAAAAAGGGATATTTAAATTTGCCACGACTCTAAGTTTCTGCTTTTTGTGTCTAGGTGTCTTCAACATTTATCGTCATTTCCGAATCATCATTTACACAGTATATGTATATATGTTGTAATAAAATAGAACTCAGTCTATTAAAATGGATTTTCATCTAAAACTAGTTCCTTTAAGATATTTAGAATAATAAATTAATTAGAAAAAAAAATTTCTTACTCAGAATCTGTAACACCAACGAAGTAATTACACTCTTTCACAAGTCCAAACATTTATTTAATCTTGTAGTCTTGTAGATACAGAATGGTAGGCCACATATATTTACCATTTAAACACAGATTACAAAATACGTAATGAGCAAATCATGTGTAAATGATGAATTATTACAAGGCTTTTTGACATCAACAATTGAATCATGTCTAAAAGCCATTTTACTAGCTTTAACAATTATCACGGCCACTCTCGGTCATTTTATGGACATCTTTTACTTTTTCCAGATGCTGTATGATTCTCTAGAAGAGGTTGATGAAGAATACAATTTATATTAATTTAGAATATTTATTCTCAAAGAATTCATCAATATTACCCTTCTCATGCCTCACATGTTCACTGAAGAAAGTTCACAAACAATCCTGAACACGTGCTTTCCTGTTTCTACTTGAGCATCTTTTTCCTTTTAGCTACAAATAGAACTGATGATTATAAAGTTCGTATTTTCTTTTATTGATGAAAGATTAGGTCTCTTGCTCATTGAGAATGAAGGTAGAAGCACAACACCGACCATCCTTCTTCTCACCTGCATTTCATGACTTTCACTGCAGTCCAAGAAGAACTGTTCTAACTAGTTCTTTCTCCTCGTGTTCAAGAAAGGATTACAATAAAACAATCCATGCTGAAATGGGAGGCTTCTCAAATGGTAAAATGATTCGTGATGAAATGTGAGACTTGTCCTCACACACCCACGTATATGTATTAACCAAGAGGTTAAAAAACCGTTAGCATATTAACCATATATGTAATTTTATGAAGCCCAAGGAAAACATACTATCCTGAAAACTGTTCTCTATCATTAGGGTTCTATGGTATTTCAGTTAGATTTTTTGGTTAAAGGATTCCTGATTTTAAATTCCATTATACTTGGCTGCCAGTTTAGTTTCTATTCATCTTTAAATATGTGACTTAAAGATTATTACTGTTTGTGCATGTCTGAATGGAAAGTTGATGCACTTTAAATTTTGTTGTGAATGATTTTAAATTAACTTTGCATTTAATTGTTTGGCAAAATTATTTGTTTTAATAAATATTATTTTTAAAGTTTGAAAAGCAGTCATTTAGGCATAACTTTATGTAACGTACAATACATATGCGTGTATAAACAAAAACAAGTAAGTAATATGATGTATTTAACTATACACTTTTTTTAATTATATTCTAAATTTTTCTTTAGTGCCAGAATTAAGTTATAATATTTAACTATATATTTTATTATAAAGTATATATTTAACTATGTATATTTATATAAAATATAAAGTAATGGGTTAAAATGTGCTGAAATGTAGTGACTTTTTTTATTATAACAGCGCACTGAAAAAATTCATTCTCTATATTAATATATTTCAATCTAATTTCCTACTCTATCATAATTTGTACTGTAAAACATTCATATAATGATTATTTATTAAAATTATAACATAATTTCACATATAGGTTCTCTCTGCTTTCCAGAATAAAGTATCCATGTAAAGTCTTTTATAAATGGAAATAACATACAACAAAGAAGCAATAGTCATTAATCTATACAAAAAAAATTTTTTGGCATTCCTTTGTTTCCAAAAAGAAACCAGTCATGCCAAATAACACACAGAACCTGAATTGTTACTAAAAGGAAGAATATTTTAATAAACATAAAACTCAAATGGATGGGCAATGACAGTGTTAAACTGAAAGATTAAATTATGGAGAAGCAGGAGTTTAGGGTGTAGAAGATCAAGGACTATTGGTTTTCTGTATTAAATCAGCATATAGCGAAATTTATCTTATGTTTTGGCTACATTGACAAAAGCCTTATCTTGTGTCCTTTCTAATATAAAAGACTTAAAATACATTTGTGTGCTCACCATTTAAGATTAACAACACATTTTCCCTGTCATACAGTTCTTTGAAGGTAGTTAAAAATTCTGTAAAGCTGCTGAAACCTCTGCTTATCTGTCTTTTCTTAAATCATTGCATGAAATGAAGGCTAGACGCCATTTGACCTTTGCCATTTCACATAACAAAACTCTGCCCCTTCCCTCTTTTTTGGGGGACCAAATAAGATATTAATATAGGTCATATACATGTAGGTCAGATCAAGTGAATTTTTGTTTTGAAAGAAGGTGAAATCTTAATTCTGCTCCCTCTGAGTAATTTGAAAAATTCTAATTCTTATCCTCTTGAAATATTGTTAAAACTAAGTAAATGTAAAGCATAGATACACTTTAAAACTAGTATTTTAGTAATATGGAAAATATTCTCATTTTGAGAGGATGCAGTATTACATGTGCTGTTTACATGGTAAGTGCCATAAAAGTTTTTCAGAATTTGAGACAAAATTTGATAATTAGTAGCACTTATCATGGTAATCTAGCCAATACAATTTTGTGCACATTCATTGTCCTACATATATTATATTAGGAGTAAAGGTAATTTTTAGACATAGATTTGGAATGAGTGATAAGATTTTTTTTTATATTTTGATTTCCTTTTGTATTTACTTTTTTTATGGCATCATGCATTCAGAATATTTTTTACAAAGTCTTTCATCTTTTCTTTATAGTTGCTGTAAATGAAACAGTAGAATCTTTGAGTAATGGTCAATCTACAGATAGTTTAATACAATCTTGTGATTCAAATAGTAGCCAAAGCCAAACACCTGTACCTCCACCTAGAAAAGTTAGTATTTGTTTTATTTTTTAGACTGCTATCACACATATGCTTCTTTCGGAAGAACAACTGTTTGGAACAATTTTCTGCTTTGTCACAGATCACTTTGAAGCTAACATGTAAAGGGGGGACTGGTTACAAACTTGTTTGTAATTGGTTACTGGTCCATTACAAACAAGCTGATAGCTGATTGGTTTGAAAACAACAACTTGCAATTTTTTTATTAAAGGAAGGAAAAAATCGTGCGTCTTCTTTCAATAGTAAATCAGGCAGAAAATTGTTTGAAACAGTTGTTCGTATGAAACCTAGCTTTCAAACTCCATAAACGTTATAAATTTGGCATTGCTTTGAAGTTAAGCTTTCTAATAATGGATAGTATGCTACATTTAGATGTAGCGTACTATCCATTATTTTTGTTTTTACATAGGTAGTTTTACATAGTATGTTTTACATAGGATGTTTTTTACATAGGTAGATGATTTTAGTGCATTATATGTAAAATTGTATTTTTCCATGTAATGTAACGCAAAAAAAATCTAAAGAGACGAGCTATGCCGGAAAACCAAGAATACAGGGGCAGGTCCATTTAACATTGAATAAATGGGTACTTCGGCAATTTGGCCAAACTGGCAACTGTTTTGGCAACTAATTTTTATCACTAATTTTAGCGAGAAATTGCCAGAAGTCACCAAATTTGGCGACATTTTGGTCCAGGCCTTGTATCACATAATAGGTATTGTAATTGATCACTATATTAGCTATAACCAAAAGTCAACCCTCCTATTGCCTGCCAGTAATTTCAAGAAGCAGAAAGTACTAGAAATATCTCAGCAGCATTGTGAAAACTATGTAAGGCCGGAGAGAACATCTGCTCTCGGTTGTCACTAGCACTCATCGTGAATTCAGAGTACTAAGATATCTCTGGGTAGCTTTCTCTTTAGTTGTGCTTTGCATACATTGTGTTTAATGTTCATAGTAGTTTGAACAGCATACCTACTGATTGTACTCTTTGATATTGTGAAAAGTTGTATGACTATCCTTGTAGAAAGTTCCAGATTTCTGATGTTTCATTTGATAAAATGAATCTTATCAACCTATCATCGAAATTGTGTGCATTCAATCTAGTATGAACCCATAGGGACACAACAATATGTATTTCAATACTATTATTAATATATTTGCATATGTTTAATGTAGTTTTTAGTTTTAAGTAGAAATGTTTAGTTTTATAAATGCAATGTTAATGGCTCTTTCAGTCTTTACAAAAACTGTAACAAATACATAAGTAGTATGATTTCAATTATGTAAACTCCTAATTAAAATATGATCAATATATGATTCTTTTAGTTAGAAATACCTTGCAGAAGCACCAGAATTTTTTATATTCCTCTAATTCATATATTTGTATTTGTAAGATTAACACTCTGCATGCTGATATTTAACATTTGTGTTCATATCAAAGAATTACGAGCAGTTTAATTGTCATTGGATGATAATAGTTTAAATTCTGAAAGTTTTGAAAAATCCTTTGGCAGTGTAAGCTATCAAAAAGTTAGTATATGAGGCTTAGCATGAAAAGACTGCATTTTTTGGAATTATATGTATCTTTTTCAGAATTACCTCCTATTTATCCTTGTGTTTGAGTTGCAGGGGAAAACAAGATTGGAGAAATTGGTATTCTGATTGGAATTTTAGGCCATAGAATTATTGTATGGTGTATTATAATGTTGTATGCACATAATATATTTTTAACATTCAGTTTTGTCAAAGGTTGTTTATGAGTATGGATTTTGCCACAATCTCAGCTGTCTTTTTCTCTCAGGTACCCAAGCCATCTTTCCCTCTGCTTTCTTTTTCTTAACCATTTTTTCTTCATGTTTTTGCCATACTTACTGTAATGTGCAAATTGAGATACATTAATATGTTTTAGCTTTTGAAAGCTTATAAGAATTTTAACTTTATATATATATATATTATATATATATATTATATTTGTAAATATAGTGATTAATTATTTTAATATGTATTTTCTGTTATTTTATGTATGTTTATATTTACTTTTTAAATATATATGTATGTTATGTTCTTTTTTCAGATAGTTAGTTCATCCTTGAAAGCTTTGTTATGTGCTTTATTATATTTTACTTGAAACTGCTCTTGTTGTATGTTTGGCTCATGATAATCTATTCAGATTATCTGCCAAAAAAATTAGACCTACCATTACTTCCAATATTACTGTAACTTTTACTTTTAGGCTTCATTTTCTCAGAGATTTTTCATGATATTTTACATTTTTTCAGAGACACGACACTCTCAAATTAAGACGTTGCAGAGCTTTGTATGACTGTGAAGCTGATCGAGAAGATGAACTGTCATTTAGGGAAGGGGAGATAATAGTTATCATAAGTGAAGTTACAGATGATGATGATTGGATGGAAGGAATGATTGAGGGTCAACCAGAAAGGAGGGGTGTGTTCCCATCTAGCTTCGTGCATGTATTGAAAGATTGATAATAGGAAGTTTAAGGTAAATTTCCCATTTGCTGTTCCCAATAAACATGAAGGCCTTTGCATAATCTTCATCAGGTTAGTCTTCCGCTATGTTTGGCTGCCCTTCGCACAATTGGGAGGGATCTATGTTACTACATAACCTGCAAGATTGAACTCAACTATACAGCAAGGCCATGGATAGTTTGATTTTAATATGGTTAATATACTGTTCAGTTTTGCCAGAGATTTTTCATCTAGAACAAAATAAGTTATTAAAGTTCAAATTGGACTGGAAGTATGTGGTTTTGTAAAGTATATGAATATACTACTTCTCTTTCGTTATCTTTCTGATTTTGTTTTAGTGCTGACTTTTTGAAATACTATGTTAGTAGTATTGCAGGAAGTACAGTATCTAAGCATTGTTATTTATGTTGTGTAAGTTTGTTCTTGAAGCAACCTGAATGAATTTTGGGGGGCCTATAAACTAGTCATGTTCTTTTTCTACTTCTTGCACTTAATTTTTAGAGTGTTTCTTGATTATAATTTACAAGTAAATGATTAAACTGTATTAAGTTTGATTATTGTTTCAATAAGATGAAAAAGAATATTTTTCATGTATTTTGATTTTAAATCATGCTTTTTTTTTACACATTTTTTACCTTAAGAGATTTAGCTTTAAAAAATGTGGTGTTTAATATTTTGTATGTTTCTGGTTTGAATAATTACTTTTCCCTCTAACATAATTTTAGACTGAAAGCTTTATTGAAGCATTTTCTTCTGAAAATTTAAATTTCCCATATAATAATTTTTGAAGGATGTTCTATATTAGTTATATGCAAGTAAATCTATTATTTTGTAAAACTTCTATATTTTCTTTTTAAAAAAAATATTTATTTTCTTCCCTCCATCTGATTGCAGTTAAATATAATTTAACAATAATTTATATATGTATTAAATGCAAAGTGTGCTATTTAACAAGGATGAAAATTGCATGCAATTTACCAAAGCACAAACTTAAATTCCCCCCCCCCTGCAGTTGCTTCTGAAATATAAGTATTTTTAGTAATACTATTAATTTCTGCTTAAAAAAAGTAAAGAAAGAAAAGAAAAAAAAAGATAAGTTAATTGTTTGTTTTAACATTTTCTAAGAATATTTCAAAATGGAGAAGTCTAGTGAATGCCTATAGCAGCCAAAAAACAAGAGAAACTGAAATTAAATGCTACCACAGTAGATGGATTTATTTTACTAAAAGGCTTTCCAGTGACATTTTAGATAAAAGAAGCTGCTAAATAGTATGAAAAAACTGTTAAAATATATCAATTGTTTTCATATTATTAATATTTGCTATTTAACTCTTCCACATACTATGAAAAGCAAAATTGTTTATTAAGGATCACTATTTTTTTAATTCTTTGAGAATTATTCATCATTTTAATTCATCTGCTGTATTTATGACCACAAAAGTTTACTTTCTATATGTATATTTGTGAATTTTTGTACTTTGTGTAGTTCATTCATTGTGTTATCTAGAATTTAATCTATTTTTATGAGACTTTGGAGTAATACTGCTAATCTTGAAATGGTCGTACAGTTGGAAAGTGGAAGTTTTATTTCCAAAATTTTAATGAGAGGAAATGTTTTTAATTTATTATCAGCTTTTTTTCAAGTTCATATATTCTTCTTTGCCATATTTTCAGCATTACTTGTTTTATTAAATTTCTGGCTTCAAAAAAAGGTTTTTTAATGCAAATAATGATATTATTAAAGTGTTGTAAGGGGGAGAAATTTAAATAGGTATGTCTTTTTTAATTCTTTGGAAATGTGTTTTAAAATGAAATGTTTCTGTACATGTATAATAAAAAATTATGTTTACAAACTATTAATACTAAAGCTAATCTTCCCTTAAAAAGTGTATAATTATTTCAAGAAGCAATACTTAACTGATTATGCCTTATATTAAAAATGCAGAGTAAAATCTCAAATCATTTACTCAATCATTTTAATAACAACTGCCCCCCCCCAAAAAAAATGCCAGGTTTATTAAGAATTATTTGTTGGTTGTAAAAGGATCAGTTTATATCTGTTGAAAATTATATTATTTTTCATATTTGTGGGATGGAAAACTGCAAAATGAATTTTAAATACACAGAGAATCTATTCTACAGAGCTATAGATATCGTGTGCTTCACAAACTTTTTTGCTTTACAACTACGTGCATTATGTTAAGGGAAAAGAAGATTCCAATCAGAAAATAATGTATTAATGAGATAATTATAAATAAACATATATTATTATAGGAAATTGATAATCATAAAATTAGTTCATAATTGTAGGTAAATATATATACTTACACAATTAAAAAAAATTAGCATTCCAAAACTTTTCTCAACCCCTAGTTTGGAAACCAGTAATCTAATCAATCAATAAAAAAAAATGACAGATCATACAGGGAATGACTTAAAAGCTGATCACTGAAAATTTCAAAGATGTTTTCTTCTATTGCAAGTTTTTAAATACAAACCTAATAAAAAAATGTGTTATCAATACCAATGCAAAGTAAGAAAATTGTTATGTGAGCCAAATGAGTGTGCATATATTAATAAACTGTTGATATAGTTTGACCTTATTTTGGGGGGGAAGTGGATACATTCTTTGTTGATGCTACTATTTTTTGGATTTCACTCAAGAAATCAGAAGTTATCACCTTCAAAAAGGATAACTTCTCATTTCTTGACTGTTCTCTTTGTTGTTTGTGTTCATCTTGAACCAAATATTTAATGTACATTGCCATGGTTTAAATTTTAACATGCATTGCCATGGTTTGTCTTCATCTACTGATGTTCCACTTTTATAAAATAGCTTTACTGATGTATAACTTCATTTAATCAGAGCATATTCTCCAGTGTTTGGTAATAGGCTGTAATCTTAGAAAAAGTTTCATTACAGATCAAATCCCAGAAACCTATAGTTACACAAGAAATACCATAAAAGTTGTGTATACTGTATGTTACCTGAAGCAACAACACTGTAGTGAAATCAGACAAATGATAAATGTCAGATTTAAAAAATATACAAATACAAAATATAATGTACTGTAGATGAAACTGCAAGGCAATATTGAACAAGTACAGCATATTCAGAGTTGTTAAAAATTCAGCAATAAAAGCATTGGTGATTTATTTAGTGATAAAAGAACGACAATGGCTAGCAAACTCCCAAGTTTGGTTCAGGTATCAACTAATAGGTGTTATGTGCTGTGAAATGTATATAACATGAAGAAATCGTGTAAATTAATTCTAATTAGATTTGATAATATGAAATTCAAAATAAATATTGCTAAAAAATTATATAACATAAATTTTTAACACTGTATTTTTCTTGTATTCCTTACACTGTATCCCATCATCAAATAAGTTGCATAGTTAAGTGAGAAAAATAACAATAGTACTTAAATCGGAGTTTCTTTTAGATTTTCATAAAGGAAATTTTCCATGCCTTTCATCCTTGTTATACCATGCTAAAATTATAGTGGAATTGTTTGTAATGTCCTTTTACCATTATATGAGTTTTATTTGCTCTTTTTCTTGAAATAGAGCATCATCAAGCATCTGCTTAAAATCATAATTGTTTTTCTAGATACCTGCTTCTAGTAACTTTTATGTATGATATGCTTTTATTTGTGAAATTTATTATTTATGATATTTGAATTGCATTTGTACACAAAATTTCAAAAAGAATTTTTAAATATTTGCTTTGCTGTAAGGTCAAAAAGTATTGGATTAAATTTTATTGTGCAAAAGTATTACTTTGTAAATACTAGAAACAATTTAAAAATTCTGCAAGTTGTTTATTTTGGAACCAGTGAATCCTCATAATTAATGCTTTAATGTAAAATTTAATATACATTTATTATTTTAAAAAGATTATTTATGTTGTGTGATATTTTTTTTTTTTTTTTTTTTTTTATTTTCTATGGGCTGATGACATTATTTCTGAAATGTGAAACATGAATTTTCCTTCTTTTTGTCTCCAGTCTTAAATGTGTTTTATCAGTACTGTTAGTTTATCATTACATTATGATTGTTCATTGATATTCAATAATATTGCTTTAACATTCTTTGCATTATTTAACCTAGCATTGTAAAATACCTAGGAAACGTAACTTAATAAATTAAAATGCAAATTTATCTACTGATCACGAGGCAATTATTTTTCAGATTTTTTTTTCCATATTACTTGTGCTTTTGAAGTAGATTGAATCTGAGATCAAAAGTTTAATATCTATACTTTCTAATGAAAAATTTCTCATCCCTTAAACCGTAGTTATTAAAATCACATATTAATTATATTCACTGCAATTATTCTACTTTCATGCTGTTTCTCTCTGATTTAAAAATAGAACATCCTTAGAATTTTTAATCTGAGCACACGATATTTACCATTCTAAGAATATAATGTGGTACTGAGTTATGCATGTTAAAATTTAAATTTTAGTTGTTACCATATTGTCATATTAGAGAATTATCATCTACACGTTAGGATCTGAAAATGGAAATATGATTTCAATGAAATGCACATTTAATGAACAGTTAATTCATTTTCATGTAAAATATGCTAATATTTAAAATTTATTCAGGAATTGCTAATCATTTTCTTGGAAATAAAGTAAAACTTATAGGGATGGGGATGTTCATTTTAAAAAAGATTTCATTAATTATTTTCATGTGTTATATTTTTACTTATTTTCAGTTTGTTCATCATTTTAATGTTGCCCTTTCGTGGATCTCAAAATGTTATATTGCTTTTGTCAATTTCATTCACATGTTTGAAGTATTTATTTATGTTATCCATATATAACTAATGTAATTTAATTTCACCTTATATTGCTCTCTATCTGTGTAATGTAAATGTTTGAATATGTATGATTTAAGAGGATTTGTTCTCATATGTAGCCTACTGTGATTCTGAAAATTAAAAAGTGTAGTTTTTGTCATATTTTTGAAGCAGACAAGAATAATTTATTCTAGTAATTTGAAGATGAAGAAAATATGTTTTCTGCATGAAATTTTTTTATTGTTTACAATTAACATTTCATACTATTTTTTTATTTTTATTAAGTATATGTTTTACTTAATTTTAATCATATATGTTGTTTTAATTAAGAAGCTCGATTTTTAATTAAATGAAATATTTTATTATCTTGAAAAAAATTGCTTCTCTTCTCTTGACCTCTTATCAACAATCAATATCAAATACAAATTATGCTAAATACTTTATTATTTCAAAATGAGCATTTTAAAATGTTTGGGTTGATATTATATGGTATTCAAATAATGCAGTAATATTTGTTTTGAGTGTATTAAATATTTGTGTTATACTTTACATATTTTTAAGTGTAAAAATATGGTATTTGGAAATCATATAAAAATAATTTTTAGTAGGATTATTTTTGTGGCTCATAAAAATTATTACTAAGATCTTTATGTCATAAATAATTATTCTAAAAATGGAAAAAATATGACTAAATGCAAATAGAAGCTAAAAATATTTTTAACTTTTAAGTATAGTATTTGTTGATAGTTCTTTAACAAGATAAGTAAATGAAATATGAATACGACACTTTTTTTTTTTTTTATTTCTTATTTATTTTAGTGATGATTGTTTGATATTGGTCTGTGATTTGCAGTTTTGAAGTTAAAATGGCATTAAAATTCTGTAAATATTATCATGAAAATACTGTTAAATTTATTAAAGAATGTTTTTCCTTTTTTATCATAATTTTTTATATTTTCCCAGTCATATCACCCCTTCTGGAAAACTTTTTTTTAAAATATCACCAAATGTTATTTTGAAGATTTTCAGGATGTATAGTTTCATGATTTGATTTAGAGGTTCAAATGAATGAATAAACATATTAATAAATAAGTAATTAACACATTCTGAAGTTGGAGTATTTAAATTTTGATTACATGTTGCACCATTTATAAACAATATGATTCATAAAGTCTAAGAAATGTATGTTGAGATTTAAAGATTGTACAGCCATAAAGAAAACTTTTTTTTTTTTTTTTTTTTTTTTTTTTTTTTTTTTTTTATGTTCATACTGTTTTCTACATTTATATAAACATCTTGCAGATATTGGCATCGGGTACCTAAAATAATAAAAATAATAGATATCAGACATTTGGTAGAACATTATGACATTTTTCTGAGGGTGTGCTGGTAGAAAACCATTTTTTTAGATTAAAATCCTTCTCAGGGGAAGAAAAAAATTCAATGCATTATGCTGATAATAAAACCTAATGTGGCCAGCCCTTAAATTTATATCAAATTTTCAGAAGTGATGTTGACTGACTGTCCATACATGCGCACAATTCAAAATTCAGAGTTTAAAATTTAAATAATAAATGCATTCATTACAATGCTGAAGTGATAGTTTTCCCCTCCTCCTCCTCCAGTGTCTAAACTATCTATGCTTTGTACCTGAAACTTTAGACATTTTGTAAGGACCAAGCTAAGAAATCCTTAAATGAGTAAGCTGCAATGTAATTAATGTGCCTCTTTCTATTAATTTTGTAATACTATGTAGTTTGACATAAAAATATTTCTTTCTTTCTTATTATTAAGCAGATATCCCATAGTTTCAGTATTCTACCTTGCTGTATATTTAAAATCCTAAATACAAGTACATAAAATATATAAGAGAGGTAGAAATTATCAAATATAAATGTACATTTTCATATGCCTTTTTTAAAGGGGTGGCTGAAATTCAAATTCATATTTCTACTGAGACCTGAGTAATAGTCAAAGGAAGCACTAGATTTATCTTTGTATAATATATAAATATATATACAAGAAAAAAAGCTATACTCACTTGCCTTGTCCTTTGATACTTTTCATGCAATTTGAGCCATGTTGTGTGTAAAAAATCTTGCCATATATTTTTAATAGTTTGCTGATATAATTGATACATTCATTTGAATGAGATTTAAATGTAATGAAAGTGCTAAATATGTTATCTGATTATCATAGTGAAGCTTTTCTTCCCATCTTTTTATGTTAATAAATTTTATTAATTGAAATGGGTGCTCTTAATGTTAAAAGTTATTAACATGTGAAATATTAAGATTTGTTTTTATGTAGAACGTTGCTTCATATGGTGCTTTGTTTTAAGATATGCATTAATAATCCATTTTTCATTAAAGCAGTTGTTTGTGAAAATTAACAGATTTTTCATATGGATTCATTTTTTGTGGATTGTTTGAGATATTTTCTGCTTCATTTTCTGTAGCTTTAATTTTACATTTTTATTATTTGCTCACACTTTCAACTCGGTCTACAGCCATTGACTAGAAAAACCAATCAGTATTACTTTATTATGAATTTAATGTTTTATTATGTGCTTTTATATTATTTTTTAATGTAGTGTTTATTCACTGATGTTGTAGCTATGGCTGTTTAAGTTGCTGGTTAAGATAGTTACATGAATGCTGTGTTTTAAAATTTATCTCCAGCAGTAAAAGTGTTGCAGGCCTTTTATTTATCTTTTCCAACCAGATTACAAAAAAAAAAAAAGAGGTGGGAGAGAGAGTTTTTGTAAGGCATGTTGGATATGATTTCATAAAGCAAGTCGGATAAAGTTGGTCAGCTTTAGTATTGCCTTATGTTGTATTTCATCTTATTTCTCTGTATTAAACTATAAAACTTTAGATGGGTTTGTTTATAAGATCTTTCTGCTGTTAGCTTGCTGGTATTTTATGTAATTACAAACATATATGTATATAGTCGTCGTTGATAGTGCTCATCTGTTACTTACACAATTGAGTAGATCACAGAGAAATTATTGCTTAAGTTATGCATTTATGCCCAGTGTCCAAAATTCTGGAATTCTGTATGTATAATTCATTTTATTCCTGTCTTATGTGTTGCTTGGCAGATAGTGTAAGCTGCAAGTAAGCTTCTAGTTTGAACATTTTCTGTACCCATCAGTTACAGTTAAAGCTCTGTTTTAATTAATTGCATTATTAATTCGAATTGAAGTATTTTTTTATTTGTAATTTATGAAAACTTAATTTAGCAGCCTCTGAAAATCTATGTCCTAGATTATTGTCTTTGTAACCTATGCTTAGAGTCAGCCTTAGAAAGTAAAGCCTTTTTGAAAGTCATCTTTTTAGCTTTCTGCCGCCTTATTCTATTTTACGTGCAGAAATCTGTAGGATATTTTAAGTTTTCCATTGCCTTTATTAATACTTTTGGATGTGATCTATCTATCCTGTTTAAAGTCTTACGTTCAGGAATTTTAAATTTTAATGTATATTTTATAGTGCTGATCTCGCCCAGACCTGAATAATCATATCATTAATTTTTTTTTCTCTAAGTTATTCCTGCACTTTCTGCAGTTTGCTTGTTATCCTTGATGCAGTGTTTTTTATTGATTCTTCATTTTCAGTTTTTGAATAAAACAGATATTTAAAGAAGTGAAGAATTAAAGATAATGGTGCCAGGTCACCAAATAATAGGTTTTGGAAGCCCGTTTTAAGAATTAATTAGAAATTTACATCCATTGAAATATTTTGAAAGCTGAAGTTTCTAAAACCTAAATAAAAACTGTACTGTGTAACAATAATATAACCTAGGAAGCCAAACAGCTTGAGCATAACCATTATACTTTGTTTAAATCGATAGAATATTTCTGCATAAGTTAAAAAAAATATTGAAATGTGAGCAATATTCAAGTTCACCTATAATTTTTCAATATAGCCAGCACACTTTTTAAAAAAAATTGAAAATTAAATGAAGAGTTGCCAAATATTGTGAATAATATTGGTATTATATAATTGATCAGATAAGTAATCATAAAAATTTGAACTGGATAAGCTATATATATATATAATTCCTTGCTGATGGGTAAATTTTTAAACTAAGCAAAATGAGTAGGTAGAATTGGTGCTATATTTTCTAAAATGCATAGAGATGTTGCAGTTTGTCTCATTTTTAAAACTTGCCTTTATTTTTAATACAATATTTTGATATTGATGTTAGTCTGTGATCTACTCCTTTTGCAATCATATCTGATTATTATGTGATCATTGAATTGTAAAGCATGAAAATAACTTTATCAGTCCTGCAGATGGCACTGATATTCACAGAATTGAATCATGCTGAAGGAGTTTGAAGCTAAAGATTCTACATAATATGTAGAGTACCACACTGCAGATACTTGTGCATTATCTTGTGGAACCATGGGAGAGATTCATTAATAAAAGTGACTATTTTTTTGCCATGCTGCATGACATTCATAGTGTATGTGGCTGAACGACTTCTGAAAAATATTGAAGCCCTTTTAAGGGCCACTCCTACTTTTGCTTTATAAAATTAGAAGTAATTTAAATTTAATGAATATAAAAGTTTAATAGTTAATTAATTAATGAAATCATGCTTATTTATGTATTCTTAAAGATGGTGTTTTGGGGATACCATCTAAGAAATAAGTAATTGATTAAAAGTGGTAGATCACATATTGCGTCAGTACCAATAAACATTAATAATCATTTTCATTGTGTGTGCAAATTTTTGTAGGTAAGGTATTTTTCTTAGAAGCTAAATGAGATATAAAATATGAATTTTAAAAGACTACATTCCTGTAGATTTTCATAAATAGTCCCAAGTGTGTGTGAATAGAAAATAATTTTAATAAAATCTATCATTGAAAAATAATATAAATTGAATTACCCTTCTTACTAAATGTCAGGTTTATTTTATAAACATACTGGAAAATGTTAGTGAATTTTGTAATAAGAGTTGTTACATTAAAGTTCCAGTAATTTTAAATGTATTTGATAAGACATTTTGCCACTATTCTCTAGATTTTTAAGGAACTCCAATTTATTGAATTGAAAGAATAATTTTCATTTAGTTATTTATATGTGTATTCTCATTTGCATCTGTACAGAAGCATGTATTTGCCAGATTGGTAATGTTATAAAATGGAAGTTAACTGTGACCAAAAAATTAGAATTATTTCTGTTGCAAATTGTTATTCTCTAAGTTTACTACCTTATTTACAGATGTTTAATACTGAA